AGGGATTTAGTTGAACATAATTTAACCTTTCTCCTGTGCTCACTTAGTTTAATACGGCAACTAAATAAATATACACATTAAGTAAGGCATAGAATTATAATTAATTATCCCTACGATATACTTAGTTTCATTAGGTTTATTCTCGACGAAATAAAGAAAGACATAATTGTAAAACTCGACACGATTACTCAAATTAAAACACACATTGGCAACAATTTCAATAATCAATGTAAAAATCGCTACTTGATTGTTGCATGCATATTACGAATTGTTTACCCTATTTGGGGTAAAAGAGAACGTGATCTGGTAGAAAAGATCAAAATAGTACTTCAATATTAATGAGTCGAGTTTTAACACATTTACCCTACAACTCACAAGTTAGTTCCAACAATCAACAAACATAAGTTTCCTTTGTTCATTTGCTGTAGATGTCGAAGACATCCAATCTTGTTGCGTAACACTTTTATAGTTAATTGTTAGTGTCTTAATACGAAAAGCTAACGAAAGGATGAAATAAATTCTTCTGTTATTACTTCTTCTGAAGATTCCTTTTTATATTATACTATTGAAGGTTGTTAGTTCACATAAACTGATGCAAAGATGTTTGATAGTTTTTACATGTATTTGTGAATTTATTTAGTTCTCTGTTAATATTAAAAGAATACTGCATCGTAGAATCGAAATGAAACTATCTGCATCACTTGTCAAACACGAATTAATAATGGTTTGAACATAACTAAGCTGGTGTCTTATATTAAGCATATTGGTTGAGAATGGAATCCAGGTTACGTCAGGTGTAAATACGGTGCCCACGGAAGTAAGCTAAAGCGTTCCCGTGGTGCCCGCCATAATGCGTCAGAGGGCAGTCAGGTTTTAGTGGGTATTCTGGTCACCTTCTGTGGCCGGCGAGTCCCACACTCCCTACGCCATTGCACCGCCCGGCGTAGGCGTGCGTAAATGCATTTCCTGACTATAAAAAAAGGTGTAAATACGGCACTAGATCACTGAGGTCATAACACCAAGCACCTAAATAATATCCCTTTAAAGTTTTTATTGAAATGACGCATGATAAAGTCCAACTAATTATTACGGTAACGTTTAACGTTACACAGCTTAAACTTCTTATCCATACACTGGTCTCTCCGAAACATTCAGATTAAATGGTAAACAAAACTACGAAGACACTTAGTTATTCTTTACGTTTGAAAGAATAACTATAATCTACAATTTTCTTTATCTGTAATATATTTAAATGTATTTCAATTCAGTGCAAATAACGGTCGCGTGGTAGAGAATAAGAACAATTTGCCGTGCCGTTATTGTATTAAGGTCACGCGCCTTAAATCCCCTGACAGATGATTGCAGGAAAATTGCTGCACCCGCCGACATTAATATCAGCTGCAGCGTGACCTCGGAGAGGGGAACAGATGAAGGGATCGTGGGAAATTATCACTACGATAAAGAACTATACCTTTACAGTTGTATACAATGATGATACAAAAGTAGTCAATAATTATAATCGTATTTTAAGATATTCCATAGATAAAATTCAAGACGACTATTTTGTTTATTAATGGCGTTAGTTGACCTGAAATCAATTGAATTTTGATAAAAATAAATGCAATATATTGTATTTATAAATTTTCAAATTAATTTAACGTATTATCAAGATTCTTTAAACTCGTAAAAAAAAATTCTTAAAGCAAAACGGACAGTTTGAATGGACTCTGACTTGTTAAGAAACTTTTTAATAACTTCAAAGCGAAATTCTTTCAGCGAGTTATACTTTTCACGGTAATAAGGCGTACCGTTACATTAATTTACTAAGAAAATAAAGTTATTTTAAAAGTTTTACTTTCCTCATGAACAACAATAAACGTTACTCAGAAGTCAAAATGTCTACAAATTTATGCGAACATTTTGCAGGCTTTATTTTGAAATGGTTTAAAAATATCTCACGTAATTTAACCCAACAAGTGTAAGCCGTGATAGTAATAAAAATATTCGATACGATATGCAGTGAGCGAATTTAACGTATTATTTTTTGTTAAAATCGTCTGTATAAAAAAGGTACATGATTGTTACCAACTTAAGGAAATCCACCGGGGAACAAAGAAAAGGTCCAATGGTAGAATTAAGATGAATTCTAGAAGTACCAATTGTCTAGAAAGTGTCATTCTGAAAAAATGGCCAAAGAATAAAACTTCTATCGTGCGTAGCTGTCTTTCTATAATCTTCTTAATTCATTATCAAATGCCTATTTATGTATCTTTCTCTTCTGTCTATTAATTCCTATTAATTCCTATTAATTATGTTTTTTTTTTAATTTAATGTTATAGAACAAAGTTTCATAATTTAAACAGTTTCAGTTTTTTTTGTATTTTTTCGGCCTGTCAAATGCTATTAGTAAGCCTATGGAAACAGTTTTGCGTTTACATTTAAAAAACAGATATGGAGTAAAAGCTTTACCTGAAAACAAAAACAAAAACTAAAAAATCCCACCGGTCGTTATTGCATGGACGGACATGTTCCCGATGACTTTATTCGCGTTCATTGAATTGTGAACGTGAAAGTTGTGTCAAAATTCGTCTGAGTGTTCTTTGTTGTCTGAGTTGTTCCTGACTTTCTATCGTCAAAATATATCGTACTAATTTAAACAATAAAAAAAAACCGTTTTATCATATTTTCAAAGATTTTTTTTTATATTATAAGGTGACAAACGTCATGTGGTCACCTGAATTCGCCGAAATGGCGAAGCGACATCCGCGATTGCAGATGCGTTACCTAACTTTAATCAACGGCGGAAGGAAGGCAAGAATAAAAATATTTCCCTTTCCAATGCGTCACTTCCTCCGTCAAATCCCCATCCTTGAAGGGAAAGACTGATGCCAATCTGTCCCTCATGTAATTAAATAATTAAGTAGTAAGTAATTCATGATAAAACCCCAAGAACTAGAAAATTCTCAAACCGAATGGAATAGAAAGAAAAGTAAATCGAATTTATTTTAAGGGAGAGTAATTTTTGGCCCATCGCCACAAAATTTGTTATTAAAACCTATAACAAACCTTAAACATGTTACGAGTATAATTTTGGGACTCAAATTAAATTATAGATTTGTATTAACAACTAACGCCAAAGGTTTTTTCATGCAATTTTAGTTTTAGTAAAATAATATAGACATCGGTGAACTACAATTTTTATTCGCCATCATTGCTCTGAAAAGAAAGAATTGAAAGCTGACATGTTGGACAATGGAAATTCGTCCACTATCAAATTGTCAAAGATTTTTTTTATTTTTTCTAACCATACGACCGAAACAAATGAAAGGTACCAAACCTTTGAATTATTTCTATAAAGTGCTCTTCAATAATTTATGAATTATGACAAATTATTTATCTGGTTAATACTGAAATATTTCAATCAATTTTAATTTTTGCTTCAAAAGTGTTCCGACTCGAAGGACCAAATTGACTATGAATTTAACTTATAAGCTTTCTGGTCTTATTTTTAAGGTCTTACAAACCTTAATGTTTTGTTAGATATATAACGTCTAATTAGTCGTAAATTATTTATCTTTTACACTTGTATTCCATATTGTCTCTGAATCTAAAGTCTCCAGCGAGTCTCCTGCCTCCCGACAGTACAGTTACAATAAATGTTGCAGCAACAATTTCACACAGATTAGTCCCGGAGGTGTGCTAAGTTGTTGTATCCAATACGTGCCCTCTCTCTGCAGTCTTGGACATTTCAACAATATTATACTACTTTACTTTTATTTCCTCGCAAAAGAGGATGTATCAATAAAGGTTTTATTTAACGTATCCCAAAGTACCTTGATTCGAATCCTCTATGATCGTGCGATAAAAAAGTTATATTTAAAAAACTAATAGAATAAAAAAATATAATTAGCCTATGTGTTCTTGCTGACTATGTATGCTAAATTTCTTAGAGATCCGTTCATCCGTTCTGGAGATATCTTCAAACAAACATCCATCCATCCATCCATCCATCTGAATATTCGCATTTACAATATTAGTTAGATTAAAATGCTATTATTAATTAATTTTAACACACCATTTACTTTCAAACAATAATATTTTCTATTAGTTTGCGTAAAAGCGGAAAGTTAAATTTGAAGCTCATATCGCGCGGTCGGATGCCGCAGCGATAAAATACATTTCAGGCCGGCACTTATTCGGACACTGTACACCGTTTACATTCAAAAAAAAAGTAAAAATAACCCTCTAAAAGCTTTGGCCGACATCGAAAAAAACGAATTTTTCCAGCTCGACGTTATTGTATTGACGTCGCAATAAAAAGCCTTGAAAAATGGTTCGCTTCGGGAAAATTGATACACTCTATGTATCTTTATTTAACTGTCGTTTCCCAAATTGCATTTCAGTGTCTTAAATTAAGATGCATCAAAGTAAAATAATTATTAATATTATAAAACGACAACCAAGAGTCGGCTATTATGTCAAATATTTTATACGTCATTCACAAAATTATAAAAAAGTATTCCATTATTAAAAAAGATCTCCGAAGCCATGGATTTCTTGGAAAAAGTTATTTTTTTGTATCCATGTTAATGAACCACCTTCAAAAGTAGTTACTTATTAAAACATGTATTATATTTTACTATAACATTTTAATTTTTGGAGTACTACAGTGAGTGTATAATTGTGATGCTCGATTTTTATTTATAAAACCCCCTATATCCAGGACATAATATATTTGTCAGTATCCACACGCGCAAATCCTATTATATTTAAAATTACTAAGAAAACAAACAGGGCTACATAAGTAGAATATTATCAAGATTATCTTAAATTCACTTTACTTCATATTGTAGTCAAATTATATTCAAACCATCTGGATCTTTGTTGAAATAAAATAAAATTAAAAAAACCGCATCACTTTATTTTAATGTTTCACGTTACAATAACATAAATATAAAAATGTAGTTCAAAAAAATACTGTATTTTGTATATACTTACTAAAATTACTAGATCTAGACTTATATTATGCTTATAATATGTTTAGACCTTACAATCAAGTCTTATTCCGAACAAAAGACATCAAGGAATTAACACAATTTACTATAAATATTTATAACTCATATAACTTAACGACGAGATCATTTTCTATTTTAAACAGTCCAATGTCAGCTGTCACATGTTTGGTTGGGTCTACATTCACATTTGGCATGACCTTCTCTCCACACCAGCCAGGAGTCAGCTGCACATGGACCCTGTGTGTGCAACAAGTGACACGCATTGTTGTATGTAACAGCACCTTTGCGCGATGAACAAGATGCAACCTGGAAAATATAAATCAAATGTCAAAGAGATGTATAGACTAACTAGCTGTCGACCGTGACTCCATTCACTCGAAAGTAAAAATAAACTTAATATGCCTATGTGATATTCTAGACTATGTTCTATATATCAAATTACAGCGAGATCCTTTCAGCTGTTCCGGAGATAGCTTTAAACAAACATCCATCCATCTAAAAATTCGCATTAATAATATTAATAAGAAGTAAGACATAGCAACATATAGGGAAGACAATCTACAATCAAATGTATTATATTCAGTACAAAATTTAGTACCACAGATTAGTAGCATTTATAAGTCCTTTTTTCGTTAAGTGTGAAACGGTACGAGGTTGTGGCTTCGAAAAATTATGCATATAAGTTGATAATCTTCTTTTACTTGTTAAAAAAACATGAGTTTCGGACATTTAATACAATATTGTGTTACCTCTCGACTGGCACATATACCGGCGCCGCAAACGCAGACGCCGTTGTGGCTGAGCCCATCGAGCGCGGGGCGCGCCTCGAAATCGAAGGCGAGCACCTCACCCGGCGCACACGGCTCGCCCGCGCCCGGCCTGTAGCAGCGCCGCCGCTCTGGTACATACAGGCGACCACGCCCACAAGGGACCTACACATTTGATATGGATATGAATTACAAGATATGTTAAATTACAACAGAAGACTGCAAGTGAATTTTATGCATCTGTATTCAGAGAAATGAGTAAAATCCCTTTTACTCCTAACGTTCCTTTCCTTAACTTTCGGTACAAATAATCTACTGACATCAGCTGTCTTAAAAATGATTACCTTAGTACACCGTCCTCCCCTAGCGATCATCTCGTCGTTCTTGCATGGCCCGCGCGTGTACAGTCGGTAGCAGGAGCCATCGAAGGCGCGCGCGTGGAACGACTTGCAGCGGCACTCAGCGCGCGAGCCCTGCTCCGATACTTCTGCTATTGTGAACACGTGCCCCTTCGTGCACGGTCCCAGCGTATCTGCAATCATATAGCCAAAAATCATTTTACAAAACGTGTAAACTAACACTTCTAACTCTGTCAGCTGTTGGGATAGCTACAATAATAAGAGTCGTTAGTTACTTAAGAAATCCTTTCGTCGTCGTCAGCTCCTTATGCGTCGTGGGACTCAGAGAATACAAAATTTAGGAGTGACTAGGCCTTAGTAGCCACTCTGGCCCAGTGCAAACTAGCACCTGATTGTAATAGCTTACCTAGCTCATAACAAGCAGCAGTATCGTTGTGATAGTGCGGCAGGTAGGTGTCGCAGCCGCATCTACCGCCGGGCAGGAACAGCTGACCGCGCTCGCACGGGCCACGCGTGTAGTGTGCGTAGCAGCCGCCATCCTCCGACCAGAAGTTTGGACCGCCGGACTCGCACTGGAAGTAACAAATTCATAGTTAAAGATCAATTATTTACAAACTATTTTAGCATTTTAGATCATTATTCATCTACTCACTAATGAAGTCGATTTAAAAATCTATTATATAATACCTGAACGATTTATCAAGACCATGGTCTTAATTATAATCATTACAGCATTTAGTCAGGTTTGGTTGACATCATCTCCCTTCCCTGTACTTTCCAATGGAATGTCGGCAGAGTGTATATTATTTTTACTTTTTTCATTTGTTTACTTATGTTCTATCGGATGAGGTTCAAAATTAGATGACTTACGGTGCAGTTAGCTAACCCATCAGTACCGATGTCTAGGATAGTACCAGGGTAGCATGGGCCCTGCGTGAGTCGGTGATAGCAGCGGCCGTCCGCCGGCCAGTACAGCAGTGTCGAGTCCGCGCACTGCTGCGGCCGCACGCACATGCCCTGCCGCACCCTTCAAAAACATAGAAAAAGTGTATCAGTTAAGACACGGCAATTAGGGCTCGTCACGTCATATCACAACAAATCATCAATTCAATAGGTTACGCTTATTAATATAAAGTTAAAATCGCAACATTTACGTGTGCCTTCTCGTTCAGCTAACAATTTCTGAGCGTGTAAGAACCGTGTAGTGTTTTAACCTTCAAGGTCAAAGTTTTGTAATCCAACTAGATGAGGATGGCAAAGAAGTGGTCTCTAGGATGATTCATGGATGGCCTGCATTGAGCAATGGAAGTCCGTTGGCTAAAGCTATACGCTACTCTACGTTACGTTAACCGTGACACACCGCTTGCTCAATATGGGGATTTCGTACAAGGTATCTATAACGCTATGCGGTTCGCACGATCTGTTGCCAATCGGATTGCACAAGTCACGGCTATACTTTTTATGAACCCTTCGATTGTCTCGTATGCAAACATTTTATCAGTCTATTCATATCTCACAGTGAAATCAGTGAAAAAAAATATTTCTGGGTTACATGAATTTTTCTTTTATTTCTGTATTCTATTTAAAGCATAATTGCTGTAACTTATTCTGATGCTTACCTACCCGCGCTTGTTGAATGTCTCTTCCACTGGTGCGAAGTACTCCCCAGGCCGGCAGGGTCCGCGCTCGAACAGCTTGTGGCAGACGTTGGATAGCGGCAGTTGTGCTGTACCCGGCGGACACTTGCACTCCGCCACAGTGCGCCCGCCCCATCGCCCTGGACTCAGCTCCTGCGTCTCCGAACATGGGTAGCCTTTCTGGAATGGTTGATGGTAAGATTGTTAAACTCTGACTCCAGAGAAAGTTAGGAGATAAACAAAACGGCATATAAAATAATAATCAGAAGGGTATTGGGACTAGGTTTGGGGCACCATCCCGCACAGAAGAATAAGTATAAATAGGTTACTTTTGTTCCTATCCTGTGTTCCGTTTTTCTGGTTTGTAAGTATTATAATAAATACAATGTTCTACTTTTATTCTCTATATGTTTTTCTCGTTATTAATAATTTATGTACAAACAATAAACTTCTACTAAACCGCTGCAGTTATTATCAATTTAAATATAACAGTTAATACGTAATAGTGCATTCTCATTGTGCTCGCGGCCAGCCAACATACTTTAATTCAACATGTTTGTGGCGTATAAAGCAGTTGGTTTAATAAAATGTGCATATAAGGGCAAACATATTTTCTACATTATTACTAGACAATAAAGTTTATTTTTCCTTGTGCTGCAGTCTTTTCAGAAATAAGACTCAAATGCGCCCCTGGACGTGATTCCCGTCTGATATAATCTTTATTTACAGATATCTACGAGGATTAAATTCTAATGAGCTTGATCACGTTATACTTGTAAGTTGTTAACATTCAAATGTTCTAATGTGGCAGATAAACACGTGGATATAAGGACTAAGGTAAATGACCTAAGTGATAGTGGCGAAATTCTAAAATTAAATTATTTGATTTGCTACAACGATATATAAACTCTTGCAGGGTTACTCGAATAAGACCTTTTATCTTCCAGAAACATGTCTAATTTATCGTTTCCACTGCCAATTATGTACTGCAAGAAAAGCAGTTTATTATATTTCTAATATTATCTGGTTAGAAAATTTATGAGACAGTTGCCCCTTGTATACAAAGTATTTTGTCCTAAATCCAAGACAGATTACGTTTCCTGTTCCGTATTCGATCTCACTGGCAAATTTGAGATTGCACAATCGCCTTTCATACTTGAATCTGTACTTTGTTACTAGCTGTAACAATTGTCTGCACATCGAAATAAACTATCCCTCAAAGCACCGATAATTTAATGTTTACTTGAAAAAGATTAGCGTAGATATCTCAAATTCAACACTAAGGCACTCCCTTAGTTGTATAAAGACAAATCATCATAATCTAAAGTGCTAGAGCCGCGGATCGAACCTAACCTTATCTAGTAAATTTCTCCACGTAGGTCTACATTGTGCTTTTCCCATCCAGTTGTTTATGTCGATATTTTTTAAGATTTCGATAAAGGTAAGTAGTAAATGATAAATTATTATCTTGGATTTATAGTTATATCGGAATGAAATACGGAAGCTAGATATCTGGAGGTCGAAAACTAGTGCGTTAACCCCACATGAGTGGATTAACGAACAAAGATAATATTTATTTTTGATCTTAATATTTTATTAATAATATTATCGAAAACAATGTTATTCATGATACCTAAAATAGGAAGTGCAATTGTCACTGTTAACTTAATAATACTTTGATATAAACAAGTACAATAATGTCTTTGTGTGATCACAATTTACATTGATTAAATTCATTATCAATTTTACTACAACTTTTATAAAAGATAAGTAAACATTTATATTCGTATATTATATTTTATGCTTTCTTTATATATGTTTTCATAAGAAACGCGGTACGTAAACATCTGAAGAACGCTATAAAAATATGTCCCTTATTGACCGAATAGATCGTAACAACCTTGACCAGATAAATAAAGACACTTTGTCTTACTTAAGTAATGCACTTTAAAATTGCAACATACTTTGTATTTGAATACAAACTAGAAATGTATTTTTTTCTGTCGTATAGTTTTTTAACATCCTATACAGCATAATAAAAGTTATACAGTGTTATATAACTTAACCCATGAACTCGACAGGAGCATGTAATGCAATAGTAGCAAGCCATTATCGCCTCTATTGCATTTTAAATACAGGTCATATCTGTGGCCAATATTTTGATAATGATGGAAGCACCAAAGATCATCTGAATATAATTTCCTAAGAAAGCAAAGTTTCACATTTGTAATAATAGTATTACAAATGTGAAGACGCATTGGTATTTAATTGGAAAGTATTGTTCCACTGACCCGTTACGAGTAGCTAACAGTAATTTTGGTTTCGTTTCGTTGTTGCAAGTGATTACTAACCTAAAAATATGACATGCAATACATCGACAATTATCTTGTCGTAAATTACTTGATGTGCGAAAACTTAACTGTGGTTATTAAATAAAAAAACAAGTGACATGTAATGTTCAAAATACATTTGTTAAGCAAGAAAGCAGTACCTCTAAGTATTTAACGAAAAATTTCCCCCTAAAAATTCTGTCCTAAATCTTTCTATACACGTAAGATTCTTTAGACCGGTTGAACGGTGTCACCGGACCTTTATCATCAAGTTCGAATTCGTCAGCCATCTCCGGTCACAATATCGGATGTAGTAGGGTTCGCTGTTGTCGGACGTGTCATCATCATCATATTATGTGGACATTTTTAGTTCTTTTAATATGATGGCTAATAGAGATGTACGGAGTAGTACATACTGTGCCGATCCTCCATCCATAGGGATAAGGGCAGGTTGGTGATGATCACTGTTAGTTCTTTTAATTCTAAATACAGCACCCAAGGGAAACTTTAAGTGCATTTCCTTTGCGTCACCGTTTGGATATCTATGACTATTTTAATCGTTTAATAATACCAGTAAATCTAGTTTGACGAGGTTCCGAATGCGGACTTGTGAAAGACCCTGACCTGTGTTATGACACACCTTTATGACCCACTGCGGTTATCTTATTAAAACATTTTTTCGCAACACCAATAATGCCTACTGTGCGAACGTTACAATACAATTCAAACTAAACGTTTAATATGTTAATTTAAATGAAAGCGTATTAGTTGACAATATTTCAAAATGATTAAGCAAGGATTTTGTGGAAAATTTTTATCTTTCATCTTTTCATGACCAACAAGTAATAATGCCGCAATGTAAGGATTGCGATAATGGATCAGATATCTCTAATAGATATAATATTTAGGTTTGATTTGTGAGTGTGAATGTTGTTGACCCTTTGCCAGCCTTTTCGTTGGAGAAACGGAAGAAGTAGAGTAGTGTTGAAGTTAAAAAGAAAAGTGAGATGGGAGGTTACGTTGTCATTTGTTTTTAATGTTTGCTAAGGGGCAAGTAAATAACATACCTTATAAATTGTATAGCATTTTCCATCAGCAGGCCAGTACAGCATTAGCCAGCCTCGGGGATGCGTAGCGCAGGGGTTGCGCTTGGCGTCCGCCCACGGAGGGGGCAGCACTGCCGCCTGCGAGCCACAGACTAGCGCAGCGAACCATAGCCACGCTGTCATTTTGTTTTGTCTATGCCACTCTATTTTACTCCAAAAATTGTAACAACTTAGTTGTGAGCCATATTTTGATTAAATTCAAATATATCAACTGACTTTTTGTCTGTCTTGTAATAAAATTCTACACACTGACCACTTATTTTTAGTTGCACTGATTATTTGCTTTAAAATCACATCATTGTTTTTATCACTGTCGCCAAATCGATAGCGAATTCGACATTTTCGAGACCTTATTATTGCCGTACCTATAAAACTTAATAAGGAATACTAAAAGAATTGAATTATAATATTGATAATCTTATTTAAAACAACGGTATATTACCAAGATAAAATATGAACATAGCGTCTTGTTACGGCCCATTAAACTCCTATTTTTTCTCCGGCGTTTATCTAATACCAGTATAATGGTTAACTGTGCAGATTACCGCAGCTCTAACGGTGAACACCAGTTACCGTTCTAACTTACCGTCACAATTTCAAAACTATTAGTAATTACTAGCCCACTTACTGAGATGTGCAAATACCATATCTATAAGTTATCGATCGAATACTATGCCTCCAATTCCATTCACTTCTATGCCAAACAACAATCTGAAAATTAAAGACTTGGAACACAGCGTTACATATTGGTAACTTATCTGAAGGTTTCTTGTGAACCCATAACTCAATTTTCAAATGTATATTTGATGGCTCAGTGAAAAAAATCATCTCTTTCTTACTTCGTACAGAAAACCATGCAAAAAAAAACATAATTCATTTTAAATTCAAACGAGCGAAAACACGAATATTTTGCATTTTAAATCAAATTAAAACATTTTTATGTGAAAACAAAGAATTCGTTATGCTACATAAATGTTACGTAATTATAAAATTAGGCGCAAGTTCATTGCGAGTGTGCGGTACGGAAGTTACTCGTTTCGTCATCGTTCACTCTCTGAGCGGGCACGCCGCACTGAGCAGTATTACGTCAAACATATCGTGGGATAGATCACACAATCTTTTAAAATGTCCTAGTGTTTCACTTCCCACGGTACTTTAGTAACTTCGCTTTGTGCACCTTTGTCCTAAATGGACCAAAACATGAAGTCCAGCACCACTTTATTACATCGTTTGAGATGCTATACAAGTAGATGGGGATAGAACAACATGGCACACACCACAAAAAAAGAAATGGGTAAGGTGGAAGAGGATGTAGTAAGATTAGGCACCTTCACAGAAGTACTAGTAAATATTTCACTGCGTGCCGTCTCACGATTAAGATATCGCAGGTTCCATTACCTCCAAAGTTGGTTTGCTTATGCATTATTTAATTTCTGCAAAATCTGATTCACCGGATTGAAAAGAAAATGTAAAACAAATTCTTTAAGTAATTTAATGCAACTGAATCGAGAAGACTGCGCTCAAATAAAATTTAATCCGCAGTGAGAGGACGCGAGGCTGCAAAAGCCAATTCTTTCCCTCATTTTAAATTCCAACTAAAACTGTGTTAAGATTTTTTTTTACGAGTGGCAACTGTTAAATAACGATTGTACTCTTACAAAAGAACAGTTGGATAATACCTTTTGTTATTCGAGTCTTGATGTTAATGACTTTGAGTCGCTTCTGTCTGTCACGTTTACCATGAGGCCTAATTTTGTTAAGAATAATATGCTTAATACGGTTACATATTTGGTTAAACTAATTGACATCCCTACGACAAGCACAGGATGTTTTTTTTGTAATAATGGTATAATAGAAGCAATTACATCACCCCTAACTTAGAAGCTCCAGGGCACTCGGTAGCAACGTATAAAGAACATAGTAGTAGGAATAGATATTGACAACATTTAATAGTTGTGAGATTTGTAAATGGCGTTGTATTACAGTTTATTGCATTATACAAAGGTATTAAGTTCAGCTCGTTTAACAATAAGATACTATAGAAGTCACTAAATAAATACAATTTATTTTATAATTCATTGTGTTTCCTGAAATAGTCTGAAAGTGTAAAATTACGTACAAGAGTGTTACTTAATCAAAAAATGAAATAAATAATATTGAACACTATCATTGAGTAACATCAGAAAAGTGCACAATAGAAAAATAAAGAATATCTACTTTTTAACTTTTTATTCTTTTGCTAATGGCATTTCATGAAATTCAGTCTGTGATTCTTAAAGTCAGGCGCACACAAAGAAATTCCACTGGTATGTTGTCCATTGAAAACAATAATACCAAAATATTTACTTGCATATTAAGATAACTGCGTTAAGTGATACAGTTTTCCTAGCTTTAATGTTGCCAAAATTAAAAGCAGGCAAATTCTATGTGGCTGAAAAACCATGCTATTGCCTTAAAAATAAGAAAGACTGTACCCACTGTGAAGACAATGTCTTTATTCTAATAAAGATATAATTGAAATACACTGTAAGAATATGCGATTAAATATATTAACGTAGTAATATAAAGATAATATAAAAATATGCAAGAAATTATAATATGTCACTGTCCATTGTAGCACAAATCAAGAACATTGTTCTGATTTTTCTTCTTGTTTATAATATTTATAAGGTAAATATGTTATTTCTACTTTTAATACATGGTAAATAAAATTCAGATATGTAAGCACTGCATGCATATGTGTACAAAAACTTGTCTCCCATTTTAAAAAAGGGTTCTCTACCTGGAATACTTATCAGAAAGATACCTCACTTTTTACGTGACACATTTATTAACTTAAACCATTTTATACATTATTTAAATATAGTTTTATAACACAACATACACACAGCACTACCCAAATATAAAAAAGATAAATATAAGAAAATGTTATTGATCTCTTTCAAAGACATAAAATGGTAAAATGTTTGTAATAATTTGTATTGATCATGTAAATATGTGTACCCGCGAAGGAATGAAAATTACGCGCGTAAATATCGTAACGGCACGGGGCCCCGCCAACACGCGTGCCGTCTCAAACAACACTGGCGCGCTTTGAGTTGAGCTTTGACTCTAGTTGTAGAGCATTGAATATTACGTGTCGTGATAGACATTGCTTTACTTTTTTATTTTTACTCTGTTTATCATAAATATCAACTTGACTGATTTCTCTGTTACATTAATTTTATTCAGTAAATTGTAAATGATTCTCTTTATAATTTAAAATCCAGTCACTTTTACGGTTGGTTGATCAGTACAGCAGATAACATTATTATGAAGTAAATTTATTAATTAATTCGTCTGGAATTTTAATTAAGTATTTGTTCCTCTTATTTGCTATTAATAATTATAAATTTAACTTGCCTGATACATTAATTATATTTAACAATAGATGGGAATAAATTAAGCTCATTCTCTGAATAAATTCGTGGGAAACCATTTTATTCATATCAACTCTTTATACCCGAGATAAATTTATTAATAACGCAAACATACATGAAAAAAATAACGTACTACAAAAAACTTTAATTTCCTACCTGGTTACAACAAATTGTCGAGTTGTTATAGATAGACGATAGACATTGTATCGTATACGTAATAATTCATGTACACTTTACATATCAAATATCAAACGTACAGATTATGTTGATTTTGTTCGTCAACATGTTAAGAAAAATGTTTTTTTAAGTCGCACGTTTTATGCTCTTTTATGTGTTAAAAGAGTGACATTTATTTTTTATCAAAATGTAAACTTCGTAACAAAATACAATGTAATATTAACAAAACTAAAATAAATATATGACTTTCTATGACTTTAATTGTGACAATGAGTTGGGATAAATTCATTAAAAATTAAAAACAGTTCCCTTCAGTCAACAAAAGACTAGGAAACGATACAAGTAAAGCAAGAACTTATATGCATTTTACCGTTTATTCAAATCAAACGATAAGATCTAGAGTCGATCGGCCGATGGTCGACGGTCCGCGATGCAACCATCCAACTACGAACTAACAAGCGCGGACGTCCACGTCAATTACACAGACATGCTTTATGAAGCAATCCTATGATAGGAACAGGAAACTATACGGGGTTTTTATCTCTGATAAATGTTGTTTCAAATAAGCTCATCGTGTCTTCACTTTGTTAAAAGGCAATGTTTTTCTACATAGTAAACTTGTACTAAAATCCTTATATTCTTTGATATTTCCTGCATTTTTTAATCATAATTTAAATAGTTTTAAACAAAGATTTGTTCGAAATACCATTGCATTTGAAGTAATCTCTCCAGCCTGTACTAATCAATTTCATAGTTCTAAATTTAAATTATAAACATAAAGAAGCACCGTTAGAAATTAAAAAAAAATATAGAGCCGGCACACTCAGACGGCCTAACGACTGACGCTTTACGCGGTGTCGTAAGCGGCGCGACTGTACCGTTAAACGAGGTTGATCGACCCTGATCGGCCTAGCGCACAAAAACCCACGCCTACAGACCGCCGTGACTTTGTCTATTGTCCTTATACCAATAAAAAATAAGTGACCCATATTACGTTCTATTTACAAAATATTACACTTTTAAAATAAAGATAAGATTCTTTCAGACAATCAATAGTGGCGTTACGGCAATATGGGGAGACCGCCCTGGGCACCGGGCATAAGAGAGCGCCGAAATCGAATATAAAGGGGCGCCTGCAAAAAAAGGAGGCGCCCAAAAATCTCTCAGGACGCCGTGAATACTAAAACCGGCCCTACAGATAATTACGTCCAAAATTCCATTACCATTCAGCTCGTCGATTTAGCTACACAAAATGGTAAAGAGTTAAATGACTATCGTATGAGTTCTTATGCATCCTTTACTTAGTATTGTTAGATGTTAACTAAGTAGAAAATCAACATTAGTTGTAAAGTAACATAACATTACAATGGAAATGTGTTAACATTTGAATTGAACCCGACGTGGAATAGTGAAACGTCTTCCGTCATGCAATTGTTAATTTAATAATAAAATATCACAGAACAAACATGGCGATGTTACGTTATGCCGACAAAATCCTAATTGTAGACTCCCCACACTTATGATTATCATAGACACGAAGATACAGCCTTATAAACATTTTATAATGGGATAGTTATAGGATAATGTATGTAATTAATGTTAATATGATTAACTAGCTTTTGCTCGCGACTTTTTCCGCGCAGAATTTAAAAAATATCTAGTAATAAAGATATGCTTTGTTACTCAATGATAATATAGCTTTTTAATGGTAAAAGAACTATTCAAATAAGTCCAGTAGTTTTTGATTTTATTCGTTACATACAAAAATACAAATCTTTTTATGATATTAGTGTATGATTGCAACTCGTCTTTAACTTTTTTGATTGTTGCGATTTTCTAATGATGTCACTTCTCAGCTGTTTGCCACGCTCTTCTGTGAAACACCTCGTATCACCAACGGCGAACTTTTGTCTAAATTATCATGCATGTTTCATGTATCGGATGTGAGTTTGAACAGCACTTCTTTTCTAGGTTAAAATCTAACCTTAAAATGTATAAGAATAATCCCGGCAATCTGTTACAGAACCTAAAAAGCAACCTAAATAATATATACTCTGTGCACAACAATAACAACAAAAACGTTTAGATTTAGAGAATCGCGTTTAGAATAACAAGTAAATTACGTAGTAAAATATTTTCTTTTTGTGCTCTGCCCTGTTCCAGTAACACAGTAACCATTATATTAATATTCAATTAACGCGAAACACAATAATGTATTCTATTATATGATGTAATTTTCCTTTAAAGGCGCCATGTTTACAATTTAAGCGTAAAACTATTGGCACACACTATACAAGTAGTATGGTGATACTTAATAACAGCAAAACAAAACATGGCACCGGTAATCCTTAGATTAAGGTGTTCGCTGGGGCTTAAAAGAATTAATTCCGCAACTAATTTGGTCAGTAGTGAAAAAAATCAAATGTATGATAATTTTTCCAAAGGAATGCATGTGTTCCACAAATTGCAGCAAAATAAACTGATTAACTAAAAATTAAACTGTCTTTGCCTAATGAATCATGAAAAAAAAACTTATATATAACAATATACAAGTTTTTTTGTCATTGAAGCAAATTCGCTGCAGGTATTTATGGAGCAATCTTATGAAGATCAGGGAAGCGTCTTACATAAGCCTATAACACTTTATAATTCCGAGCGCCTTCTCCGGGCTTGCAGGTCGTGCCAACTCGCGTAAGCAGCACTGATTCATAAGCGAAATCCTTTAGTGACGTGGCTTTATACAAAGCCAGCCTCTGCCTACTTCACGCTTTGAATAACGATCACTTTCTTGAGAAAATTGTTTCATGTGATATATGATTATAAGCTGTAGATTAAACCTATATCCGTCTTTTTATTTTACCGATTGGTAGCTTTTATTTCATGAACTCTATTTAATTTTAGTTAAATGTATAACAAAAAGCAAGCATATTGAAGAAAATTCCTAAAAAAAGGTTAAGTCGAACATGGCAACAATTTGCTTACTTGCACCTTTGTCATTTAAAATGTAAATACAATATCACTCCACACGATAGTGGTCTGGCGATGTCGGATACAAGATACATTAAAGCCAAGCTTGCATTAGCATACAATACAATGCGGACAGAACGTGTGGAGTCCGTTTCGCAAATCACTTGCTACATGCTCTGTTGACTTATTATTGTCAATTACCTAACTTGAATTATATAGCAACAGTGTAGTATGCCATATTAAAATGCCAATAATGTTAAAACACAAACAACCTTAACAATAGCTTTAGGAGTACTGGCTAAAGCTCAAAAAGAGAAATATAAATATTTTGAGGAATTTCGGGGTTGTAAACTCTTCATGCCCCCGCCGTGTTTGGTATAAACAAACACACGAGCGGCGTGAATGGTCATCTGTACTACCAGACGAACTCTAGATGCGTTACCGGCATTTTGAATTAAATAACATTTTTTAATATTCGAGTATGTCTGCTCTCCTGCTCTGTTAGTACGACGTTCCTTCTAAACCTTTGGAATGCTTACCTTAGCCACAACAATAATTGGATTTATTGAGGTTTATTCCAAGTTAGCGATCACCCTTCAAGACTGAAGAAGCACTGGAAGAAAAAGAATAAGTTTAATGAAGTTAAGCAATTATTATGAATTATGTTCCGGTTTTTATACAAAGATTGTTTCTTGTTATTACATTTTTTGAATCAAACCACTATACTTGATGTCGCAAATTGCCTGTCTTTTAGGGTAAATTAATTAACGAGGGTAACACCGTAACAATGTCAAACTGACATTTACATATAACAGTTTTGGCAGTTGGCATTTTTGACATTATTATTTCGTATTGTGTTCAAGTTTTGTACAATTTTTGTATATCTTATTTTATTAACTCGATGTATTAATAAAATAAAATACAATCACTCCCTTTATTGTAATGGATCCTAACAAAACAAAAAGTGCGTCTGAAGGAATAGCAGTAAGTATATTCCTATTAACTTTCAAAGTGTTAAAACATACGTATTTTGTATATTTGACTCTTTACCCTATAATCTCAGTCATAAACATATACCAGGAAGTGCAATGAATACGAACACATATACAAATCCCAAGTGGGCAACCAGTTTACGAAAGTAAAGCCGCGTCGTATTACGTTATTTTCTCATCAAATAAGTTCTACCTGTAAAAATAAGCAGCGTTTTTGACATTACAATTATATTTTCTAACTCAACAAATTTAACCTTTTTTTAAATCTTTTCCAGCCAATGGGAATCACAGCATTGAATGAAACGGTGCTCAGTAACCAGCCGGAGTCGAGATATGAATGTCCGGTCTGTCTGAACTGGCTCAGAGATCCCGTCATCACCACTTGTGGTCACAAATTCTGCAAGAGTTGCATTACATCATGGCTACGGTAAATTCAATTGCAACTTTTGTGATTTTCCTATTGACATTTCAATTGATTTTAAAAATCACCTTATTTTTTCTTAATGTGGAGTCTGTATGATTTTCTGTAGAAAATCTATTTTACTGCCTATTGCTAGACTATAGCTTGCTTGACAAATAGTTTATGATAATACAAGAATTCAAAGTCATTGTCTAATTTAGACAATGGATAACTTATACTGACCTTGGCTAGTTGTTAAATTATAGGAATAAAGGTATTTATTATTTACATTTGAAACTAAATATTTGTTTATAATTTCAGTTATTATTATTTATTTTTTACCTAAGTGAAATTAATCGATTAAATTCTCATTCACATCTTAAAACTCAAGATGGACTGAAAACAGAAAATTGTTTCGAATATATTAGTCTCTTATTTTAGTGATAATTTCAAATTGAACTTTATGACATGGTGTTAGGTTTGCTTGTGCTTTATCGAACATGGAAAAGATATTTTCACATGTTAGCTCTTTAATGGCAGTGGTACAAAGTCGTCGGCCGATGTTAGCTGATGCTTCAGATGTGGAAGTTACTACAGATGAAGATACAGGGTGTGTTTTTGTATATATAACTTCATATTGACATTTTATGATAATTTAAAAAGCAATGTATCTGCAGCAACTCTGGTATAGTCAATGACCACAGACTAAGAATTCATGAGATGATTCTGTGTGTGAGTGTTGTGTGTCTTTTTGTGTCGCAGGAACAGTGGCCACTGTCCCATTGACAATATCAATCTGAGCATGAAAGTGGATATCTTCCCAGACAACTACACCAAGCGGGAGATACAGGAACAAAGAATGTCGTGCCCATTTGCTGCTAAAGGTAATATAGGATATAGCTAGTCTAACATAAAGCATAGCAAATTAATATAATTTTTTTTAAAGTAAGCTATAAGTAATGGCCATCATTTAATCTGGCAAACTGCTTCATGGTTTTTATTATATATTTCTTGGTATATTTAATGGAATCTGTTGCTTTTTATTACCACTGTTGTAGGCTGTAATGTGAAAGTGACCCCGTTGGACCTGGACGCGCATATCGCAGCGTGTGAGCACAACCAACCTGATACTTCAGCAGCGCAAACGCGACTACCCTGCGCCTTCCATGCGGTCGGCTGCAAGGACACATTTGAGAGCCAGGAGGATATGAATAATCATCTGCAGAATGATGTACAGAAACATATGAGTGTAAGTTATTTGTCCATATCTATTGACTGAAAACTTACTGGACTGATTATGAAAACTCTTTTACTATAATCCCTTAGTAACATAACAAAACTTGATAAGTAGACTATGTTTTACCTCTATGCCAAATTTCATCAATATCATTTAAGCTAAGTTCTGGAGATACCTTCAAACAAACATCTATTCATCTATCCATCTTTTGCATTTATAATATTAGTATGATAAATACTATGATTTATTACAGTTTCTGATGAACGCATATTCAGAGATAAAAATCAACAATGATATATCAAACGCTAGTATTGATACGAAGGAGCAGGAGGCTATGAATCTGTGGGAGGCGCCGGACAAGGAGGGCGCGCAGGCCTCCGCCGCACCACTCACAAATACAAGCACCCTCATAAGGTATTGGTCGCTGATTTTATTTGTGACAGAAAAAATCATTCACCTTATCAATATTAGCAATCTGTAAAAATGACTATACCATTTTCTTAATTTAGGATCTTTCGCATAAATAGCGTCGGTTTATGTTCATTCTTAATTCAAATGCATTGTAATCAGTGATACTAAATCGACTACTACTTCTATTACTAACTTACTTAACATGTTCACTTATTTAACTTAATTAATTTGCAGAGCTCTGTACGAACGTGTGGTAGTATTAGAACAACGTAACCGTGAGCAGGACATAGTACTCGCCAACTTGACAAAGCAGTTGTCAGCGCTGGCTGTTGCCAAGATGAAGCAGAATAGTGATATGTTGCTGCGTTACTGCGCGGGAAACTACATCTGGAGAGTTGACAACTTCCAGCAGCGCCTCGATGCTATGCTCAAAGATAATTATAAGATGCTCTATAGCCCGGGATTTTATACTTCGCCTAATGGATACAGGTGGGTGTTTTTGACTTGGAAGCATGAAATACTGTAATAAATGGGGCTACTCAAAAAAGTTACTAAGTATCCATTTTTTTGAACATCCTGTACAAATTTTATTTCTATTATTATAAATTAACTAGGAGGCTCATAAATGAATTATTTTTTTAAAATACTACTAAGGAATGCTCTATTGTGTAATTTTGGGACACTCTGTACATAAGTTTTCTACTTCCAGATTCTGTGTCCGTTTAAACATATCACCACAGAACCCACTGTTCTTCGCTCTGCACGTGCACCTCATGAAGACTGAGAATGACGATTGCTTGGAGTGGCCGTTTAATGGACGCATCTCCTTTGCTATGATTAACCAGTTGGACGCCGAGCGGACGCAGCGAGATACAATGATGTCCAACTCCACTCTGGTCGCATTCCGGAAGCCCACCGCTGAGATCTGTCTCAGAGGCTTTGGGTATACCGAGTATGCTCTAGTCAGTGATGTGGTTAGGAATGGATTTGTGAAGAATGATGTGCTAGTGATTAAAGTTAATATTAAATGTGTTTAGTTTTGTGTTTCAAGTGTTAAATATGTGATGAAAGTGTTATAAAAGTGAAAGTTTGTTGTCTCATGACCAAACTCGATTATCAATTCAAGGTTTATTTCTACTATATAAATTAAATGAGTGTTTTTGATATTACTATATTTAGGTCATCTCCTTAAAATTAATTTGACCATAAATATTAATTAAAAATACAGAAGATAAGCGTAAATGGTTCAAGATTGATTTTTGGGTTTGGCTCTAAATGTAAATGGCGGTGACTGTACTGTTTTCTAATCACTTTGAGTACAGTCACTGTCAAAAATACATATGAAGTTTTAAAGTAAAAAGGTAAAAAATATAAAGTAGCTGTACTTTACCTTTGTTACATGATTATGAAAATTTATAAAAAGTAATTATTTTATTACAGTTTTAATTATATTGTTTAGTTTGCTAACTTTTATATCGTTATAATTACGACACGTTTTTTCACGTATTTACGTATATTAATAATGAACACACGTGATTGTTTTTGTACTTAATTCATACTGTAGTCTTAAAACTATTTTTATTTAAGTAAAAATGTATATTGACATAGATTATACAAAATGAGATTATATTAAGAATTGTTACTAATGAGTAGAGACTTTAAAAATGCTACAAAGGTGGTACATCTCGATTACTTTATTATTGACTCCGTCCAATATATCAGAATGTTATAATTAATGTACTTAACATATTTTATATTAAAACTAGATCTGATACTGTAATATTTATGCAGTATTGTTTGTTACCTTGTCTTATTAAACTTACATTCCTTATTTTTATATTTAACACATGGTTAGTGATTTTTATTAAAATGTTATAAATAAATATATTTATTAAAATGTATTATTTCAGTATTCATTATATAGGTACTATGTTTTATACAAATATATAGATATACATACTTTTTTAAATCAATGCGAAAGTTTTTTTTATTGATAACTTCTATTAATGTTTTAACTTTTTCTTATTAGACTTCAAATAGAAGGTTCTCAATTCCTTTTTATGTTTTTTTTTAAGATGCAATCTGATTATTAAATTAATTTCTTGGTAAAGTATTAATGCAATGAATGATATTTTTATTTTAAACTTGTACTCAAATACATTCCGATGAAACGAAATTCATTCCACTTTGCATCTGAAGCACTTTACATTTTTAATTTGAATTTTATTTAGTAAAAGTGCTGATAATTTTATCTAATCTCATGTTTCACATATTTTTATTGAAATTGTAAACATATCTTTGTCAGGTGCAGTATTATATGCGTTGTTATTTATATGGTGTTATATTTTAATAAATCTATTTAAATTTACTTAATTTTTTTCTTTATTTACCTGTAGACTATCAATTTAAAAAAAAACTTCCTGTCAAATTAGGAGTCGGTGGGCAGTGAATGAAACATTTATATGTGAATCCATATTTTAATTTATCATTGGTTACAAAATACAGTAATTAAGCTTATTATATATACTTAATAAATATAGGAATATATCTAGCATTTATATAAAAAAATAATACATACCAAAAGACACTCAAATTCATATCACATTCAATCATCACAATTTCGTCCACTACATCTAAATAACTACACGTACTAGAAAAAAATTTGACACAAATTATGGCGCCAATTCACATACAGCTAAAAAAAAACTTATGAATAAAATATGATAAAAAAAGAATAGACTCAATGACTGTAGATTAATAATAATGAAGTAATCAGAATCCTAAAGTACTAAATCCAAGCCATTTTATCACCATTATATTTAAAAGCTAGGAATGGTTACATAATGTTATACTTTATGGGTCTCTCAAATGATTTATTACGGTTTATATTAAGTTAAATTGCCTTGGTCTTAAAGATGATAAATGTTTTCATTGTGCGCTTTTTAACGAAATTATGTCGCAGTCTTGATTTTGATATTTCACTATGTGTCGCCCGCGACTCCGTCCGCGCGGGATGACAAATAGATGTTGGCCGATTCTTAGACCTACTCAATATGCTCACAAAATTTCATAAGAATCGGTCAAGCCGTTTCGGAGGAGTATGGGAACGAAAATTGTGACACGAGAATTTTATATATAAGATTATACGTAAACTTAAAACAGACTCATAAAAGTGTATTGTCAATTTCTGAAGGCAACAGTGCATCGGTAAAAAGAAACAAACAAAAATTAATCCTACGTTACCTATTAACCACCATTCTGATACAAACACACTTATAATGAATGAGACCTAAATTATGACTACATAAAACTTGAGATATAGAAAACAAAATTAAAAATTTTAACTTCATAGAAATAGACAGAACATATATTTCAAATTTAATCTTTTTTTTATTCGCAATAATATTTAAATAAATGTATTAAACAATTATATTCGATCTCATTATACAAAGTTAGGTCATAAGTCATTAAAGAATCCCATATTTTAATGCAAACTAGTTTCTATTTCATCGCTACCTAAAATGTGTACCAGCTTAGAAAGTAAACTTAAAGACGAACAGAACAACTACGGATAAATAATTGGAATGTTCCAGTACTGAAACATTTGGAGTGTACACAAATCGGTATAGACCATTGACCTCTAGATTCCAATAGACTGGCTATAGCGGTTGTATTTTGTGCCTATTTGATTTTCGCCATTGGCGCTTACGATAATAGGTGATAGCGTAAACTCGACCTAAGAATAGTGATAGAATTGGCAGACAGTAACGTCAATTGACGTTTTTAAGTCGGACGACACGATACAAGTCATTTATAAGTAGCAACCTGTCCTGCGGATATCTATAGAAGTCTGTGGAAGTAACTTCACATGACGTCACGACCTAACCACAACATAACCTCTATATATTTTTTATTTATCACAGTAACGGTAAAATGCATGGATTAATGTCGAATGTTTTAATAAAACTAAAGTTAAACAAATTATTACATAATACCTAATGTAAGCGAAGTTCTAAACAGATTTTTCTAGAATTTTCCTTTCTTGAACAATTTTTATGTGATAAATGAACAAATAACAATTGGGCCCATACAAAAAATGTAAATGGAACAATTATTATTTAAAACATGTCAGAAATGTTATTTCAACTTATAAAAACACGTACATATATTTATAAATTTATATTAAGCCTTCTTAAGCATAATTATAATAATGCATATTTAAGTTGTTTTTTTAATGTCACATCCACCTTCGTTCATACATTGCATTTTTTCACGTACACTCGATGAACCTGGCGGTGTTCAACCTTAAAAGTTTCGTACCCATTGAGATGACAACGCGAAACATTAACCAAACGAACGTATGAAAAAAGGTCGGTCACACGGCAATTGCTTTTAATTATTATCTCGTCGTGTACACAACGTGCCACCTTAAATGTTATTCTGTAAAAAGGAACAAGGCAATTTTTCTGTAAGTGGAACACCGCGGATTTCCACGACTGTACATATTGAAATAGGCTGATACTGAAGATATCTGAAATGTTTCCAAGCTTTAAATATATAAAGCGTTCTCACCAAAATTTATTAGATGTGTTTATTAATTAAATTTAAAATGTTTATAGAAAAAATAACGTGTAAAAAATACATATACATATAAATATATTTTATAATTAAAAAGTTTCTTTATTTTGTTGAATTTTATACATAACTTTTTTTTCCATCAATCTCGTGATATAATTGAAAGTATATAAAAATCTTATTTTAAATACAAAAAGCATTACGTGAAATACGTGACACATTATGACAATACAAAAATTGTTAAGAAGAAATTTAATTCTATTTGAGATAATTACTTAAAACTACTAAAACAGAAAGTAAAAAGCTTACAAAAACATAGTAAAAAAATTACAATGCAATATAATATGATCCGCAAACACATTCGCATTTAATTAGAATGGCAGAATACAATTATTAAAAAATTAGGCAAAACTTCATATCGTATTATTTGTCGCCTATCATAGATAAAGGCTAAACTAATTTACAAAATCAACATACAATTTGAGACTTACAAATACAAATACAAATCATTGAACTGAAATCAAATTCAGAATAATCTTTTTTAAGTAAGTAAAATTCATATTATCCAATTTTATAATGAAATTCACCAATATCCCTTGATAATAACGAAAAAAAAAAATGGCAAAAATACTAGTTCTAGCAAGATAGTTTATAAAAAGATACAATTTTTGTTGTAGGTCACAAGTTAGTCAAAATTAACAAATTAGTCAAGGTCAACTTACAAAGATGTCAAAGTATACAACATAGTCAAAGGAGTCATAGTCATAGTCAAGTTAGGCAAAGGGGACAATGTTTGACATTGTGTAAGTGTTAGTCGTATGTTCAGACAGAGCTGCTGGAGTCTCCGGGGAAGTGCATGAGGTTGTCTCCGCTGCAGCTAGGCGTGGGTGAAGAGGGCGGGTCGAGCGAGGCGCGCGACGCAGAGCTGAAGCTGCTCGAGCTCAGTTCCTCCGCCTCCGCCTCGAAACGACCTCCACCCGCATTGCCTACAAACGTGTGTTAAATTATCACAATTTATACATAATTTCCAATTAAATAAATAAAATAGTGTGATAAAATATAGATATTTTAATAGATTTGTGTGTGAATGCATTCTATTAACAAGGGTTTCGGTTTTACTTGTTAAATAGGAATTTTTATGACAATTTTCTTAAAACCTTTCTTCTTGGAAATAGAAAATAGAAGACAGCTCTAATAATAGTATGATAATCATGACTATAGTTCTAAAGTATAAAGTTTAAAAAAATTGTTTAATAGTTTTTTTTGGGCAGTGTATTGTGTATTTTTTTTTTGTTGTCAGGTAAAAATAAAACACAGTGAATAGTTTTTGAATTTCCAAAATGCTGATTTTATTAATTTAGCAATATTTCAAACATTCCATGACTACAACAAATGTGTCTGATACAAGGCAGTTAGCAAAGAGTTAAAAGTTAATATTTGAACAACATTACAGGGGGATCAAATTTACTAAAAAAAACTTCATTCTACAGCTTAAAAATTGAAATTTATCAAAAAGTAATGTCATAAAACATATTTTTTTGTAAAGTAAGCCGAAAATATAGTTTAATTGAAAATCTCAACCGAATTAACATTTAAATAATTGCCATAAAAAACGAAAGTTTTTTTTTAATTTCATGTTTTTGGCAAATTATTTCACAATATGTATTTTGTCAAAAAAAATGTTTTGCTTCGAGCGAATAATTATACTAATTACAATACAAAAAAATACAAACAAGTGCATATTTAAATTTCATTTCTGTTCACATTTTTTTTTGGTAGTTGATAATTAAAAAAAAAAAATTAATCAAAAAGCCGTGTCTTTATCACATTCCAATATTAACCAAAATAATAATCTAAATACGAACAAGTAAAATTTCGTCTATATTTTAAAAATATTATGCACCAATCAAATTTTCCTATTAAAACTAAATAAAAATAATCAAATAAATATGTCGTGTAAATTTTTATAAAAAATAAATATTTGTCATGTTACATTAACATGGTAAATAAAATAAAAGAAAAAAATCTTTGTGTATAATACTTAATTGAACTATAGCTGTGCATTGTAGTCTTAATATAGACAAATAAAATTATTTTTTTATTTCACATTGATCACAATTTACAAATTACAGTAAAAACTATAAACATTTTGTACAGTGGATATATCATCAAAAAATCAGGTAATTGCGGGGACACAACACAGACGCTGGAAATACATAATACTGACTACAAGTATACATTTTTGAAGTTATATTCGAACAAGCATGTCTAATCCTGTGAGAGACTACAATCGGTTGGTACTCTCAGAAAATATGTAAAACCTACATGGATGTAGAAAATAGCCATAGAAAATGGCATAAAAGGAGCTAGTGAGCTGTCATATTTAGTGTAACTTATGTCCACCGAGTCAGATATACTTGACGGACATTAAGATGATGTGTCAAAAATGACTTTAGCCGCCATGATTACTGTATAGGATGTCTCGCTCACTTGCATAATTTCGTCTTGCTCATACTGTGTATAAATACAATATTTGCTCAGAACTTCAGAGATGGAAAGACCAAGTATGATAATAATTTGTATACATTAGATAGATAATTTATAAGAAGACATTTTTAGTTTTAAAAACTAATACATAAATATATATACAAATGACGAGGACGAGTAAAAAAAAGATAAATATTTATAATAAATAATTTTGAAATTATACAATAAGAGATTCTGCTTTGTACAGCAAAGTTAAATCGAATAAAAGAACGACTTACTAACCTCATTAATTAAAAAAAATATTAGTGGATAACATAGCGTGTATTATTCTGATGTGAAATAAAGCATTTAAACCTAATCGTTCTATGAACTAAATAAATTAAAGAAATAAGTACCATAAGAAGCACGGCATTAACTATTTCGCTCTTGTGAATACACAGGATGAAGATTTCCTTGCAGTGAACTATTCTCATCAAGAACAAACATTTGCAACAACAAACCTCGATAAATTCTAAAATTTTCTAGTCAAAAAATACAAATCATGATTTCCCATGACCATTGCAAGTTGCTAAATTAAAATTAAACAATATTATTAATTAAAAATTATTAAAATGTTTTACGTAAAATTAATAATTTTTTTACCTAATAAAATCTAAAAATTGAGTATACATTTTAATGAAGTAAAATCACCTTCAGAAGTTACTTTTTTTGTTATTTTCCTTTCACCTTTTTTATTATTTTGCTACTTTTATATTTTTTATAAGATTTTTTTAATGATAAAACTGTGATAATTTACCGCTAATTCTCACAACAGGCGATATATTAATTGTCCTACATAATTATTATTACGCAATAAACACAGTTTAATGTTTTTGATTTTTTTTTTTAATTTCACATGTGCATGTTTTATTATTGCCACACTTAACTAAATATTATTTGCCTAATAGCAGCAGTTTCGAATATCCGTTATCATAGCCTAGGGTAAAATAGAAGCTCAAACATCTGAACACATTTCCTATTACTTTTTCTTTCTACGTGATTTTTTAGATTTAGATTGCTTTGATGACGACTGAGCTGGACTTGAAGGACTTTTCTTTTCATCCTTATCGCTATCCGTGGATACAACTGGTGACGTCACATCGTCATCAGACGATTTTTCCATTACTTCATTGTCTTTTTCTGACTTCCCTTCTTCATCTATCTTTACTTCCTGAGAAGTAATTTTATCTGTTTCAATTATACTGCAACTTTTACCCTTCTTTAAAGGGGACTTTTCAATATCAATCAAATTAAATGTACTAGATTCAATCACTTTAGTTGTATTGTCTTGCATAGATGTCAGTATATCGTCTAAAGTGATTTTGCAAATCGGACTTTCAACTTTAACATCTGCTACTTCAAGTAAGCTGTCTTTCATCACCTCTAGTTTGAATTCATCCAAGCCGAAACCCAAACCGTCTAATGGGGGAACTTCCTGTATTACAGAATGATGTTCCTCTACGAAATTTAAACCTGACGGCTCACCACATTCAGCCACGATTATATCTGTCCTTTTACAAAGCTCGACTAATTTCTCTTGCAGCGATGTTTCAACAGGTATAGAAGATTTTTGTACTTCTCGTTTAAACATTTCATCTTCTATATTATTGTTTTTAGTAGTCGTCTCTATTGGAACTACATTTTTATCTGTTTCTGGCTTTTTAACATTTTTAGATGCGGCTATGGTACTCCAAGATTTGATAGGTGTTTTAGCGATTGCTTTGCTATCATTGCTTGCGTCTACTGTAGGCTGAGGTGATTTTTTCCGAGGTTTGTTAGCCCTTGTTATTTGTATATCTGGGAAATCGTCTTCGGTTGTATTTATAACATAAACTTCTTTAGATTCTGTTGCAGATGCTTCTTCTGATTTACTTGGTAATTGTGCTTTAGTTTTTGATGTCTTTTCATTGCCTATTGAGCAACTAATTTCTTCTAACAATTTACTTTCGCTAGTTTCGAAATTCACTATCTCTATTGCCGAACATTTTCTTGTGTTTTCTTTTTTAAACGATCTAAAATCAGATAGTAAATCAAATTCGGATTTGTTTATATCAGAATTATTATGAGATTTGGATTTAGTTATTTGCTCAGTTTCTCGTATAGCTTCTTCCAAATTTTGTTCGTAGCCATTTCCTTCGTTAATGTTAATTTTCGGAGACCGTGACTTCTTATTTTTAGATAAGAAAGAGGTCGATGGTTCATATTCTTCGAATGGTGAGGATATAGAAACTAATTCGCCCGTGTCCGCTGATTGCGTATCTTCTTCTATATTGTGTATTTCTACAAAACTATCCTCGTCATCTTTTGCAATAGTATCTTCTTGAGTCTTTCGCGTTTTTCGACTTTTCTTTGTTTTAACTTTAATATCTTCATTTTCTTTAGTAAGCAAAGAAGATTCTTCATTTTTCGTGTTCTTTGTATCATTTAAAGCCGTGTCGCAAGCTTTCTTCTCGTTTTTATTAATGGTTTCTGGAATATGTTTTTCCTTGATAGCATTTAATGGTTCAATGTCAAACTCTTGTTTAGAAGTCTTGTTCGTTTTTGTATCATTTGCTCTGGTTGATGCTGGTTTCATTTCTATATCACAATGTTTTTCGGTATCACGAATAATTGGTTTCGGTTGAGTTTCACTTTGTTTTTCAACATCAGGCATAAATTTATGTGGCACTTGTATCGCTTCATTAACTTCTTTCAACTCTTTTTTATCGCCTAAATCTTTAGATCTTTTAGCCGGTGACTCGCCTTTCTTTAAAGGATTATCATCCTTATTTTTGATACCTGCAAATGACTTTTTCTCTTCTCTGTCTTTCTCACAATCCTTTGTTGATTTATTATCAACGTCCGATTTTTTAATATTCTTAAAACTAATGTCACTAGCAACTTTCTCACTAACAGGCAATTTGGTGGGAGATTTCTTACATCTAATACGGGTCGTCGGTTGAATATCATCCGAGGACCTATTCGATTTTGGCAGTGATTTAGTTTTAACCTCGCACTCCGACTCGACTTTCGCCGAGGAACTCTCACGTACATCGCGCTTACACTGCATCTCCTCGCTATCGAGATCCTTACTTAAATTAACTTCTACATTGTCTCTATCTACTTTCTGTGGGACCTGCCCACCGATATTTTTCGATCTATGTATATCCGTAGCAACGTCATTGGAAGCAAAATTGTCCGACAGCCAATTTTCTACGTTGAGAGCGGCCGGGATGATGACGTCCGTGTTGAGGGGGAGCACTTCGTCGGGAGAGAGATGGGGGAGTGGGGAAACGTTTTCGACGGGGATGGTGGTGGTCCGAGGAAGAGGTCTGAGGGGCAGGTCGGGCTGCAGCGGCAGGGAGGCGGGGGCGCGCACGACGGGGCGGAAGGTAGCCTCGTCGGCGTTGGAGGTGGTGTAGGAGTCGGGGTCGAGCGGCGCCGGCGCGGCCTCCGCCAGCGGCACGGCGACGGTCCCGCGCGGGTTGACGGCGCGCACCACTCCCGGGCTGCGGCCCGCGCGCTCGCTAGCCTGCTCCCGCTCCCGCTCCCGCTCCCGTTCCCGCTCCCACCCTACACGAAACCGAAGGCAACCACGTTAATATCTCGCCACGGAGGAGATTTGGAAGGAAGCATTACGTTAAAGCCGACACAAGGTTATGGATGCCTTTGGCTTCGGTACGAGGGCGGCTGTGAGCGGACCCGATACGAACGGATTCCGACGGAACTTCGATTCGATATCGTCTCGTCGATTCCAACGTTATAGTTAATGCTTTCTTCGTCTCCTCCGATCAAGGCTTCGTTCTTGTGCGTTCGACATGCTTCATGATTTGTGTATGTTATTATTTTGTTAGAAATATTGTCGTAACAATCACGATACTTTTTACAAAGGCCAACAGCAATTGTTTACGATATTATGATAAAGCACAGAGTTTCACTTATATTTACACTATGATAAAACGCGTTTTTTCCCATTTCCAAAACGCATTCAAAGCAATAAAAAATCTAATAACAAATCAATTGCACAGTATTTGTATGTACTGTATGGTTTAGAATTAACACAGGGTCTGTGTAATGATTTATATTTTTATTACGCGAGACAAACAATAAGATATGACATAAACGCGAGAAATGTTTAGAAAACTAATAGATATATGACAAATAGTGTTGGTAGAAATGTATATACAAATCGTGTATGAACTCCAACAAGTAACTGAATAATATTTACTATTCGACAACAATTTCAATATACCAATCATTACAACTTAAGCAGTTTGAAATACGTGCAAATGAAAATGTACCCAATTCGATTGACATAGAGTGTGTATTTGTACAATGAGATGGCAGAATATGAGATATAACATACCGTGGTCCTCCTTCATGGCCTCAGCGAGATCCTCACGCAGCTGCACATCGCAGGAAGCGCGTCCGCTCTCCGCCAGCAGAGACTTGCGACGGAAACTGTCCGACGGTGAATGTTCTAAAGAACCTGGAAAGTTCACAAGTCAAATACTAAATCACCTATAACCATTAACTTCTATACATAAGACAGGTTATAAACCATGGTAATTTGTGCCTATTTGATCATTGAAATTTGGAATTGGATTTCAATTGGTAGCGGTGATGAGACTTCGAACTAATAATAGAAATTGATTTATCTTTTATGTATATCAACACACATGTTTTAGTTCGTATAGAATAAATAGGAGAAATATCCAGCCCTCGATATTTCGTCTAACTATATGACCAAGTACTTGACCAACTGCTGGACCGATTTTTATTTTCCACAGTTTATAGGTAAAAACAAAGAAAGGCGATGGTGGCGCTCTCTGGTGTCAAAAGTCAAGTCTATATGAATTGTTGCGCTAATGTAGTAAGTAATTATCGTTAAGGCATATGATAATGAGATTCAATGTGGATGGTTACAAAGGTAGGGAGAGACCAAAAAAAAGTATGGATGAAATGTGTGAACATATGCATAGGAAGGGGGTAGATACAGATATAACGGTTGATAGAGATATATGGAGGAGTAGTACATATTGTGCCGACCCTCGATAGGGATAAGGGCGAGTTGATGATGCATATGATAATAGTTAAATGCATACTAACTAGCAGAGCCGGAGTCGATGAGTACAGGCACAGCGGGGCGCGCGCCGGGCATGTTGACGGGCGTGGAGCGCGCCGCGCCGCGTCCCCCCGCCTCCACCTCCACCGTCTCCGCCTCTGACAGCGACGAGTTTGACCTGAACACACAAATATTCATTAACAAATAAAACCTTACCTACTTACCTACCATTTTTATTTATTACTAGCTATCGACCGCGACTCTGTCCGCGAGGAATTAAAAAAAAAAACTTAATAAAAATTTTACATCTATGGCAAATTTTAGCAAGATTTATCAACAAGACCCATCCATCCATCCAATCATTCGCAGTTATAATATTAGTAAGACTAGTAAGATATACAATATTGGATGTATGTATTTACCCGGTGCAGTTGTATGTCTTGAAGACGAACTGCGGCCCCATCCAGAGCCGGCGATGTGGGCCCGCGTGCGTCACTATCTCCACCTGCGACAGCCACCGCTCCTCCTCGCTCATACACACCTCCACACATCTCTGTAACACACAAATAATTACCTATCGGTTAAGTGTACTCCTTCTTTCAATAATGTAAACAATAAATATTTTTAGATTTTTTTCAATTTACTTCAAAGCTAGTAGCTATTCATAATTAATTTTACTTCAGTTTATTTTTAAAATGTCTTGTAATGAAAATTATATTCCCATGATAAAATGAAACAGTGGAATGGCCATCACGTCTATAATCTGATCGGCAAGGGAACCGTATATTCTCTTGGTGTGTTTGTGTGGAAGGAGGGTATACTGACCCTGCAGGAGAGGGTCTGCAGCAGCGGGCTGGAGGGCGGGAGTGGTGCGAGCAGATCTGCGGCGGCGGGCGTGCGCTGCAGCGGCCATTGCGCAGCCGGCTCCACCTCCAACTCCACGGGAGACTCGTCGCACAACTTCTCCTTCGGTACATCTGCGCACACACATACCATAAACACATAAGTACAACAACTAGATAATTTAATGAAATGATGATGATATTGAAAAAAATACAATTTTGTACGTGTGAAGATTTTTTAAATTTTTACATATCAGAAACGGCTGGCTCTTTTGGTATGACTTTTACGGGAAGGTAACTGCGGTAGGTAAATGCGGGCATTTATAAATTTATCCAAAATTAAAAGGATATTTCCTGTTTATCATAAAATTTACTTCTGCAGCTTACGTACTAATGATTACAACCAAATAAACCTTTAAAATCTTTTATTTGTCACATTCTTCCAAACACTGAAAATGCATCTACAAATTTTAATATTGAGTTTCCTTGTTTATTTATCGCAAGAAAATATATTATAATACTAGCTGTCGCCCTCGATTCTGTACGCATGGAACTTAAAACAACACCTATTATGTAGCTTATGTGTTCATCCAATCTATGTTCTACATCTATGTCAAATTTCAGCGAGATCCATGCAGCCATTCTGAAGATCCATCCATCCATCCATCCATCTAAACCTTCGCACTTATAATATTAGTAAGAAAGATACATGTGTGTACATACTGCGTGCTGGTCTCGGGTGCAATATGAGATGTAGTAGAGATCCGCTGGCTGCCATGAGGTAGAGCGAGACAGCTGCACCCCGCCCCGCGCCCGCAGTCCCCGCAGCCCCCGCGCCGCCTGAGCCAAAGCACGCGCGCGCCAACAGTGGAGCACTGCTGCTCTCCTCTGATAGAGACGATAGACGCTGACGACCTACAAGATAGATAGTACGTCACCACACAGCTACAGACAACTCTTAATTGCAATACACTCTGATTAAATCTTCCATCTCGTTCTCACACATACTCGCTCCTTATAAATGCACTTTAGTATCAAAAGACATGTATAATAATTAAAAAAATATGTATCTCTTATTTAGACTTAATATTGATAATTCTTACTTTTACTACCACAGCTAATCATTAAATGTCCCTTATTATAAATGTTGTATGAGAAAATTACACTTAGGCGCTCTCTTGGTGATCAATTAAGGACTTTGTGGCAATTAGAACACAAATAATAAGAAGGGAATCAAGAATTTTACCGGAGCTGGTCCTGGTGATGGTGTGCGTAGGCAAGTTGGAGGTGGGACGCAGCTGTGCCAGAGGCTGCGTGACTGTGGGAGCAGGGAATGGCGGCAGTCGCGGGTTGGGGTACCACGGCCCCTGCCCGCTCACAGACCCCGTCCATCCACTCTCACATACCTGTAATATTCAATTTAAATAATTAAAAAGTGAAAAAATGTATATTTTTATTTCATATTGTATGCATAAAAAGAAAAAAAAACACGGAAAATACAAAAAAATCGAATGGATAGTAAGAAGTATATCAGCATATATGTTATTTGAAATCACCTAAAAGTCTACTTTTGCGCGTATGTGTGTGTATTAGGATGACCTTATATGCGTTGCATTGTATTGTGTACGTACCGGGCTGTGCGCGTGCGCAGCGGAGTGTATGGGCAGTCCGGCCGAGCGGTGGAAGCGAGAGAGTCGATTGACGACGCGCGGCTGCGTGTGCGTGCGCACGCCGCAAGCGCCCCCGTACGGACTGATGGCGAACACATGCGTCGTACCACGCAACGTAGAAATCGCCGTCCAACGAGAATCAGGTGACAGCGCTATATCCTACACACAATAATCAATTACCCTAAGACTCAACTACCCTCGCACTTATGCCAAACATAATATTGCTATCTCTTTCCTTATCTTTGGAAAAAGTGATAGCAATATGTATTTATTCAAATGCAACGACAGTTATAACACTGAGCAGCAACAGATATACCAAATTTACATATATAAAAACTTCAATTTAATTAAATTGCTTTTTAATAAGTTTTCATTTGGGTGATTTCAAACAAGAAGTTTGTACCTGAACTTTGGCGGTTGTATCACCACGGTGCAGTATATAGAGATGGTGTACGGAGGCGAGCGTGGGGCCGAAGGGGTGCGGGTTGATGCGGAACACGTGGAAGTCATGCCCACGCCGGTCTGCCGTCACTAGCAGCATCCCGCTCGCGTCAAACTTCAGCGCGATGATCGCCTCCGAGTGCGCCACGAAGTGTGCCACTATCGGATCGCATGGCTCCTCGTTGCCCTGACCGTCCTCGTCTTCGTTACCCTGAAATTGGAAATTTTTACGTTTAAAATTTTTTTTAAAACGACTATCTAGCATCGAGTTGTTTTTCGACTATTATCTGGAACGTATAATTCAGTCATTGTGAAACAGCGTATTGTTTAAAAAGAGTATGTAAACTGTAGATATGCAGTAGGTCCTTTTACTTTTATAACTCATGCGTAAACACGTTATTGCTATCTCCATTCTTTTAAAGAGAAATGAATGGGACGGAGACACACTGTAACTCCATGTTTAGCGCGCACACCTCAATGTCGAGTATAGTGACGACTCCCGGCTGCTGGGTGTCGGCGTGGGGCGGTGAGGGTGACTGCGAGGCGCTGCGTCCCGCCAGGCTGTGAGCCACGCTCTCGCCTAGACCCCGCAGACCCTTGCTCAGCGACTTCGCCGCGTGGAGCACTGTCGCTGTGTAGCTTGTCACGCCTTCGCCTGCAAATTAAAAGCAACATACATTACTATGACCTCATTTTGATGAAATTTTACTTCAATGATTTCTTTATAAAAGTTAGTAATTTTTTTTTAATTTGAATAACTAAGAATTCATTTAATATTTTTAGTAACTGTTTAGCTAAACAGTCGTAAAGACGAGGTTACGGCCTCGGCAGGTATCATATAACACCTGTGTACAAAACACCTGGTAGTCGTTAATTATTATGATAATTAGTTTGTGAAAATAACTAAAAACAACCAGTATTGGGGTGACTGCATAATTTTGCAATTTTTTTACAAGAAATGTAAACAGCGGCTACCGGCCCGGGACCACCCAAATAACCTATGCACAATGCCAAGTGCATAACGAGAGTCGGCTAGTTCAGAGCATAGAGTCTCATTTTACTTGCCATAGCCGGAGTTTCCACAGTGATATAGTGGGCCGATCCCGGCGGCACTGCAATGCCGGGCCGACCCGTGACGGGAGTGGAGCGAGCCCCGAACATCCCGTCGTTATACAAAAATCAGTTTAATATACTGGTCCCGCAGTGCGGGAACTTTCAGATATTAAGCTGAAAAGAACAGATACTACACTTTGATCTTAGCCAAAAGGCCGAGAAGCGATGCCGAAACTTTGACACTGGCCAAACGTGATTCGACGTAAAAGATTTTCTACACCGCGATGTTCGTTCAGATGTAAAAATATAACGCCATCTGTCGGCGGCAGTGCAAAAAGTTATATTCGTAACTTCGTAACAAGCGCCATCTGTTATCTAATTATTATAACATTATAAAATAAGAATTAAAAAAAATTACGATAAAAATTACAATTATATATATCATTATATAAACAAGGACAATTAAATTCTAACTCAACCTGTAAAAGATTGAACCATTAATTCATCTAACTACTGCACAGATTTTTTTTAATTATCTTTGTCATTACGAATATAACAAAACTGGAAACAATGCAGTGATTAACAAATATCACGCGCGCTACTGAATGCTAACGCGATGTAAATACTGCAGCGATTCCCACAGCTGCACGTACTGTGTGGTAATAAGACATTGATAGACCGCGCGATACTATGACCACGCCGTAAGGTCAACGCATTACGATACAAATATTATACACATTGAAATACAATTTAATGTTACTATTATAAACATATATAATAAAAATAAATGGCTTATAAAAAGTACATAAGGAAGAGCTCATTTTACGTAGTATTTTTTGTATTTATATATAATTTGGTAATACATATACTGTTCTAAGGTAGTAATAAAATAATAAAGATTTTAAAGTTTTCCTCTATCTAACACAATCGTAAGTAATGTTTTGTAAATACCTTCACATCCTCCACTGCTCCTTTTCGAGGGATTTAATTTCTTGTCTGCGTAGGCAATCCAGCGATCTCCCAAAGCCAGCGGGTTAACTGGCGCGCTGCCGCCGAGGGGACAAGGGCATGGGTAGCACGTGGTCACCGCAAGTCGGTCCTCCAGAGACGATGCATCGAACACTGCGAATCGCTCCGCGAACGACACCACCACGGACCGCTTGTTGGCGAGCACATCCAGGATAGGGTTCTTGAATTTAATACTCTTTACCTGAATTTAAAAAAAAAAAATTTTCATTAAGTGAAAAAAGCGCCATCTCTCGCATTTTCACGTTAGGGTTCCCAGTCTTTTATTGACCAAAGAATATGTTACTACTTCGTAGTACTTTATATTATCAAAATATCAGTAACATTCGAATTCCATATTGAATTTTACACATATTTTGCTGACAATAACTGTGCTGTTATCTGGTCAAGTATCGTAAGGGAATAAGAATTGATTAACTTCTATGCAAGATGTGGAGAGACAATCTGTATTGAAAATTCAGCCTGGTACAAAGTATGATAAGGTTGAGTGATATTACTTTATATACAACAGCTGTATAATCAGATTATGTGACTGTGAAAGTGATTGTAGTATAATAATAGCTTATCGACAGCGGAACGCTATAAACTAACTTCAGACGTAACATCTGATAAGAAGGTAGACAAAACAAAATAACAACAAACGATTTGACTCGCTTTTACTGATAAACGTGTATGTTCCTAATATATAAATATTTTATATTTTAATTTTTCTTTTTGAATTAGTTTTTTTTTAAATTATGTATTGTTACACTTAAAGTTTCCATTTGTAAAACATACATAATTAATAACAAAATTTGCGTATTTTAAATTCAAATCAACATGTTGATTATTGCGCGTAATTTTTTTTTTATTTGATAATAACATCGTATGATTTTTTAATCTCATTGCTTTAAAATGTTTATGCACAACAAATGATAACCAAATAATTTTCACTGAAAAAGATTATTAAATTAAATAATTATATCTTACCTGTTCTCCTCCTCTTATTGAAATGAAACTGAGCGAGCAAAATGTGGGTCCAGGGCTTGCTGAATCACACAAGGCGATGAGGGGCCTCTTCGACGCAAAGCAATCGCCGTGCTGCGGAGTGGGCAGTATACGGAGCACCCTCACTGTGCCTTGCCGCCACGAGAGCACCTCCTGGGCCTCCCCAGAGTTTGGTATCAACCATACTTGCACTCCGGAACCGTAGCCCAAGATGAGCAGTAATGGTGACACATCCTTATCACTGTCACCTTCAGGTGTAGGCTCATTTATATCAGCGGTCTCGAATCTAATAAAGTTAGAATTTAAATTAAATCTATTCATACAGGAATTATAGATTGATTACAACAACAACTAGGCCGATAACTTACCTAGCCCATTGAATTACATCTTTGGGGTCTACATTTGAGGATGAGGAGAGTGTGACGTCATTAATAAACCCTGACACTGCATCTATAAGGCCTCTGTCACTTGGGGGCTGCGATGGCACAATCATAGGCCCCCCAGAGCGCACGTGCCGCGGTGAATCCGCTGACATATTTGACCAGGACCTTTAATAAAATTGTTACTTCATAATATTCCAAATACAGATGCAAATTTTTATGTTGAAAAATAATTTTTAAAAAGAAAGTGATTTTCATTATAACATTCTAGAAATTTGGACTAGGAAGCTCATAATAAAGTGTAATTTATTAGCCTTTACAAAAAATTAATAAACAAATTTAATTTAGAAAAACAGTTATGAGTAAGAACTAAGCACCTACTTAATCCAGCTTAACCCAAAATGAATACTTGAAGTGAACCTTACTGTGATCACTTGGTTAGATGAGACAAATATTTATAATTCAAGAAGTATGACCAAATTAATAAATGCTAGCAAAAATCTTACTAAATATTTAAATATGCATATGCTAATTTTCTTTACAATGAAAATAAACAAATGAGAGTCATTCAAAATTACATTAACAATATGTTTATCAGAGCATAAAACAAAATAAAAACATAACATTTGATAAAAAAAAATCATACCTATATTAAATAACAAAATTACATAATTAAAAAAAATATATTATTTTACCTCAAAACATAAGAATGTCTTAAAATTCTTAACACATATTCATGTACATAAAAGACAATAATCATTGTAGAGAAAACAGGTAGATAAATTACAATTTAGGTCCTATACCCTTTAGGGCATTATAGGACAAAGGAAATCGATGAACTTCAAGCACTATTTTCAGCCATTAAATATTAATTGCAATACATATCATCTCATCGTAACATGGATTTTAAAGGGAATTTGTCCTTCACTCACCTTTTTAACTAAAATATTTCTCATTTTAGATCCATTTCTGCAAAACAATGTAATTGCGTAGTTTAACTGGCAATTGAAAACAATGACGTCACGAAAAACAAAAACACTGGTACACTATCTCTTATACTACACAGAGGATTTTATTTGTACTTCTATTAAACTAAATCTAAATTATTTTTGTATTTTATAAAAAAAACACAATACAGTAGCGTTTTTGACAATCCCTACACCCACATTGAACAGATGATTGATATGTATATGTATACTTTGTATGTAAAGGTAGTGGTGAGTGAATGTATGAAGCCGAATTGTATATAACTATATACCTAAGTACAATACATACTACACAATAATAAGTACAAGGCTACCAACATTAGGTGAAAATGAAAAATTGATCCAGTACCAGTTATTGTTTTTCAAGGTCGGTTATTTATAAACTAAATTTAAAATTTGACATGCAATAATGTAATTAATTATTAAATTATATATCTACCTTAATACTTGTTTGATTAAAAATAATTATAAATACAAATAATTATAGCAAAAAAATTGTAGTCGACAGTGAGTTGCATGATGGCAGCACTGGTGTGAATTAACGCGGGAATTTTAATACAATCTGTGCAAGCTGTTCACAACACAACAAATCACAATAGAAATTGGTTTAAAGAGCTCAATTGAATGAAGAGAAAATGCATAACCTAAGTTTCTCAATCTTTGTTTTGTCATACTTAAGTAGTGTTATAATGGTAAAACATTTAAATACAGATGATTTGGCGAGGAAAAACATCATATTTTTATACGTGGACGATTTACGCCATCTACACGACAAAGATGTAAACTTACCAAATATTAAGAAAATTGCAGAAAATGGAATTACATTTAATAATGCATTTTCTCAGGTAGGTAACAACAAAATATTTGTGATAAATAGGTATGGGTTAAAGTCAAAGTCAAAATATAGTCAAGTGTAGTGGTTAAAGTCGTATTTCTTGAGAATCGAACGCGGATTCACGGGTAAAGAACTAATTTTAGAGAAAATATTAAATCCTATACAAATCGATGTTTTTTTTAATTTTGCCAGCAAGCCTTATGCGCACCGAGCAGGAACTCTCTCTTAACTGGTCGTCGGCCGGACGCTTTACGTCTCTACGATTTTTATAGTTATTGGCGCCATGAAGTAAGCAATTTTACAACACTACCACAACTATTAAAAGCAAACGGCTATCACACATATTCCATCGGTAAAGTTTTTCACCCGGGCCCAAGTTCGAACTACTCCGATGATTACCCATACAGTTGGTCAGAATTACCTTACCATCCACCATCTGAAATATACAAAGATGCGGCCGTATGCAGAGATAGGACAACAAAGCGGTTACAGAGTAATCTCGTTTGCCCCGTAAAGGTGAATGAACAACCCGCAAAGACTTTACCCGATTTACAATCTTTAAAAGTTGCTATAAATATACTAAAGGAAAATAAATATATCCCATTTTTCCTTGCCATTGGGTTTCACAAGCCGCATATACCTTTAAAATTTCCATCACATTATTTAGGTAAGATGTCACCATGTCTAATTATCTGAATAAATAACACCGAAAAAGTCAAAGAAATACTTCGTAATATGTATATTTTTGCAGAAAAAATATCTAAGCATAATGTAAAACCGCCAAAGTATCCCAACAAGCCAGAGGATATGCCATTAGTTGCATGGCATCCGTGGCGTGATGTTCGTAAAAGAGACGATATACGCCAACTTAACATATCTTACCCTATGGGTATTATGCCACCAAAATGGACGATTAGAATACGACAGAGCTATTATGCTGCTGCTCTGTATATCGATGATTTAATTGGAAAATTAATGAGTTATGTCAATACTAATAATACTGTTATAATACTAACAAGCGATCATGGTATGTCCTTAATTTTTTTATCTGACAGGGTATTTGTTTTAAATTCCATAAAATTGAAACTCAATATTTAACTTTATAATGACACATTTTTACAGGTTGGTCATTAGGTGAGAATGGTCTATGGGCAAAATACAGTAACTTTGATGTATCGTTAAGGGTTCCACTCATTTTTAATATCCCAGGAATTCCACCGAATATTATTGACACCCCAGTTGAACAAATTGATGTGTTTCCAACTATAGCTGACGTAACTGGCATAAAAGGAATACCAAAATGTAAAAATACCAGAGACAAATCTAGTCTATGTTACGAGGGTAAAAGTCTTCTTCCGATGATGGCGGGAAAAAACCAAAATGGCGGTTTCGCTATAAGTCAATATCCAAGACCGTCAGTAAAACCGCGAAAAAACTCCGATTCTCCTCGTTTAAAAGAAATAAAAATAATGGGATATAGTATAAGAACTCAACGTTATCGTTATACAGAATGGATATCTTTTAATAGTACTAAATTCACAAGGAATTGGAGCAAAGTGTACGGCAGTGAATTATATGACCATTTATTTGACCCTGATGAATCAAATAATTTAAGTAAACATGACAAATACAGATATATTAGAAAAAGATTATTAAAAATGCTAAGAGAACATGTGGAAAATAATTAATTTTATTTTAACATTGTTTTAAATACATACAAGGAAGCACTGGGCAGAAAGCAATTCAATAATTTAAGACGTACAGTTATGACTACGAAGTCAATCAGGCGAGGACGCGGACGAAAGCGCAAGCGTGCCCTCGCCATGATGCGTAGGAGGAACAGAGGGGTTTAGTGGGTATGCATCCCATCTGGAAGAGAATCTCACATAACTACCGCGAGTATGCATAAAGCATTCCCCTCTGAAAAAAAAACCCTACGAAGTCTTTAGTTTAATATTAGTTATTCTGAGTACTATCATGAATAAATATGAAAATAAAAACGCTGTAAGTACTTCATCATATTATATTTATAATATTGTAGAATTTGGATGACTATTTGGTAATCAAAATCGACCATGCGCACTGTTTATTTGATGGAAACATTACAACAAATATAAAACAAAACAGATGAACACAATCATTTTAAATACCTACAATGTATTGTAAAATAAATTATAGGAACACAAACACTTATACAGTAGACAAAGATCAAATATCTGTCAGATATTTTCATGCAACATACAAAATATATTTATTTTATTTAATATTTAAAAAATATAGAGCTGTATAAGTCGAATAAAACTTAAAAAAAAATGAAGTCATTATAGTTTGTCTGTTGACCTAACTAGGTCATATAAACATCTATGTTTTAGATTGTAATTTATTTAATAGGCCAAAATTTGACCCACTTTCGTAAAACCAATCCCAATAAAACACTATTGGGAATCTAATTGGGACAAAACAATAATAGTCACGCTATCCAAATATTTATTGCACTGGGTCACGCCTATGTAGTTCCTTTATTTATAAACGAACATTTACGATTCTTAATACTAATTATAAATTAACATACTCATGTACACTCAAATACACATTTTATATCTAAAATAAATGCAATAAAAAATTAATTTACTGTCATACAAGACTTTTTTTCTCTTCGGGCACAGGTTTTCTAGAATTTTCTTCCATTTCAATTTGTTTGAACCTAGCGTACATCGCACTACTTCCTAACACAATAAGGTTAGACGACCACCAGAGATAGTTCTTAGTCTCGTTGTACCACTGAGTTGCCAATACTGTTTGCGCGCAGGCTTTGGCCGTTCCCGATATATTGTGCGTTAGAGGCGATGTCACCTGGAATAAAAGAAATATGATATATTCAAAACATCTCTTATATTAAACTGAGTAAATCTAAATCTAAGATCTCATAAGAGCTGTATGTTTTCATTAACCGAAATTCATTACACACGACTCAATATCAAAAAGTTTTGCGGTTTCTAGTCTACGCTGCAATTATATATAAGATTCTAAAGATAAATACAACAATTATTGTTATCCTATATCTCTAATCAAAGTATTTATTACTTAATTAAACAATTTTAGTTAAAAATTTTGAAAAGTACATCGACACGGTTGATTAAAGATAACTTTATGACGTCATTTATTTCTGATGATTCCTTAGCAAAAGGATAGCGCGACTTTTCTGATTAGAAATCAAGGTATAAGCTAGCTGTCGAAAGACTTCGTCCGCGCGGAGTTAAAAAACAACACAAAAAGTAGCCTATGTGTTCTTCCTGACTATGTTCTACATATGTGTAAAATTTAATTAAAAATCCGTTCAGCCGTTCCGGAGATACGTTAAAAATAAACATCCATCTATGCAAATATTCACATTAATAGTATTAGTAAGATTTATTCTATGGTCGTTGCATTATTACTGAGGTAGTAATAAAACAACTACGTAATCTTTGGTCTTTACCCTTTCGTTATATGTTTAAAGAAATCGAACCATCCAAGGCAGATAAGGAAATAAGAACACTGGAATGACATCGGATGACTTTTTTATCATAATGCATTCGTTTCGTACAACTCATTATCATTGCCATTTACAATCAATGAGCTGTTTATGTTGATAACTAATTGCTTTGCACGTCGTAATGAGAAATCATCATATACTTATCGAATTAAAAATATATCTAATACTAACAATTAATAATAAGCTAGTAAATGCAAAAGATTTTTCTAGAATATACTGAAAGTCAACTCAAGATGGACAAGTTGATAGAAAATAATATTTTTAACATATGTTTATCCACTTTAAAATTATACTTAGGGAGGGTGTATAGTTTTGTAACGACTAAATTCACAAACTACTCGACCAATCATTAAAATTCAAGATAGGCTATTTTAAATAATGTACTACATCGACCTTTCTTTTTGGTTATAATTTCCGCGACCCCGCGCGACATTTTATATCTGCATCTATTATAAGCTAAATAACTTGGATAACTAAAAGAAACACTGTCTACGCAATTACTATTCTATCCATAATTACCCTTAAGCAAACAAAATGCCTGTCCATTTAAATTCTTACCTTTATTTGCAATGACGTCACATATCCAATAGCGAAGCCGCAAACTCCACCAATAACCATTTGCACCCAAAAGAAGGTGCTATCGAAGTTTGCATACTTTAGTAGAACTCCCACCTCTCCATTGATCACGATCAGCGGCAGGAACAATATAATCGAGTATGCATTATTGTAGTATGACAACAGCCAGACCTCCTGGTTGACGCTCGGCAACACTTTCTTAGTAAATATCGAGTAGAGTGATAGCATGAAAGACCCGATAACTCCATATATGGTACCGAGTAGGGAAAACGATCCTGTAAATGAGAGCGAGCGCTGAGACTTCGTACACCATTACAATAAGCAACCACTTCATATTCGAGCCGCTATCCGCGTCAATACTGACTCGATATATCAACACGCATTCATCTTTATACGCTACTTGTCTCACGTATAGTTGATAAAAAACTAACTAACATAATCATCATTATAAACAATAAAACAAGGTCAAATAACCGCTAATATTTGTACACTTTAATATCGAATATAATAAAATATGTTGTCAAATAAATCGAATGCATAAAGTTCTCTATGAGTTGTACTTTTATTGCATGATCCTGGCATGTATTAATAATATTTGAAATTTATACTAGAATAGAACCAGAAACCACATATAACAGTGACGAATCAATTTTTATTGGGTACTATGATGGCGCAATAGTATATAAACATTGCGTCATAATTTTTGTCGACATCTTGACTGTCATTTCTACTACTGTAGTTTTTTCAGTCAACCCATTCCACACCATTCTTTTTATATGACCTTAACTATGAAATCATTCCCAGGGTCTCATAAGGGTAGTCTGGATTAGTCTTTTCTAATTATGTTAATTTTAACCCCTCATTAGAAATGAAAAAAATTGGGGAAGGTCAAAAGATGACATTTGTTATGTCTCTCTCTCCTACACATGATATCTAAGCAGTTCAATAGCTGATCTTAGTCACAATACTAACATCAAAAACATTTTAATGGCCATATCTTTAGATTTCATTATCATCAATATTATCTTATCTACCGGCAGAAGAAACAAAACGATTATTATTTGGGTTACGAATGTGACTTACGATTTAAAGAATAATTAGATCGATTAATTAAGATTTTAACCTTAATATTACATTTATAAACTTTAAAATTACTATATTATCTACTTTTTTACGTTTATCATATTTGCATTTCTAAATACTGAGCAAATTTTAATGAAATTGTGGTAGAACATTCTGTGGCCACAAGTAAAGCCACAAGTATGAGCCTGAAGAATCTAAAAAGCAGTATTTTTCCATTTTTATTAAACATCATACTTATGTCATTATTTTTTTAACTCAGAATTGAGAGGTCGGCACATTAAATGCATCTAGCTCTCAATAAAGGTACAAATAATATATTCTTATTACCTAACAGATTCTCTTGGTCTACACCTAAGTAGAATCCAAATATGATGAAGGCACAACACATCACACATCTTAGAGATGTGGTCTGCCGCAACAGGAGCCAGCTCAGCAGTACATTAAAGACGGTGGTTAGAGACCGTCCAATGTAGTAAAAAGCTACACCAACATACTTCAAGCACATATTGTTTGTTGCTATCATTAATGTGAACATTATTGATAATGGTATCACCTGAAATATATAATAGTTAATATAAACTATTCTAGTTGTTTCTGTACATTATTCTAATCTGGTTTAGTCAATTTTTTTTTTATGTAATTGAAATGCATATTTCTAAAATACTTTGTTACCATTATTTAATAAAATAAGATATCACATGTATTTATTTTATAACTCATGATGGTAAATTATTGAATAAATTAATATAATTTCAAAATTTCAATATTACTTTGTACTAAATTATACATGTGATTTTATGTGTAGGTATTTTTGAATATTTTAAAATCATACATTGTCAGAGGAGAGGTGATGGTTAAAATCTTGCATAATTAATGGAAGAGGTTACTAGATAAACAAAAAACTTTAAGAACAGAAACCAGGAACTATATTAACTAGTATTGCAATCTGCCGTCTATAAATAGGTATGTTGTAATATTTTATTTAGTAATATATTTTGTTTACCTTTTTTACCACATCCATATTCCATGGTGAACCTTTTGGAAAATTGAATACACCAGGCACTCCTCCAGTTCTACTTAATATGAAACATATAGTGAAGGATACCACACATTGAAACCATGTTATAAACAGAGGGGCATCCAGTGATACTGAGTCACTACTTAACAGTGTCTTGTTAACAAATACTGTGGCAATGGATACAACCCTGTAACAATTATTAAAGTTAAACTGTACTCAATAACATAACAAGGAAAACATTTTAAATTTCTGTTAAATTGTATAATTCATTTGTAGATTAATAAAGGTATAAAATAAATGTGTATATAATAATATATGTACTTCAAAGATAAGTAAAACATTGTTAAGGTGTTTGTTGTTTTTATTATTCAAAAGCCGAAAGTTAAAAAAACGTATATATACGTGTCAGAGAAAACATTTACGTTAGTAAACTTTTTGACAATGTACAAAAAAAATGTATTTACTTACCAATAACATGACACAACGATGAATATTTTTATATATCTAGAACATAAATCACCCTGGTGTTCCTTCATGTTTTAATTTTTACAGTCGAAAAGAATTACAATAACTTTTAAATATTATTTGGTAAAAGATCATATTAAAGAAGACGTGCCAACCATGCCAGCATTATCTTATCTATATGTAAATTGAAATGAATACCTTTCAAGTACAATTAGAATAAAACTAAACTAATAATTAACTTTGTATTTTTTGTAAACGTAAACGCACAGTATATGTCAAAGTCAATGCACCAACTGTCAACTGTCAAATATCCTTAAAAAAAAGTTTCAATTTGGTCTATGGTCAAAAGTTATGCGCAAACTCGTTTTGTTAATACTCGTTAACATTTCACAACATCGATTTTCACGTCCTTGACGGAAAAATTTATATTATTATTTTCCCTATCTCATTTTATAAAGATATATTTTTAAAACAAAAATTACCACTATATTATTAGCATTTATGATTGATAATAAGTGCCATTGAAGACATGAGATCAAAGTAAGAATTTAAGTTCTAATTCAAAACCAGATTACATATACATACAATACCAACTGCTTCATTATTGCATTTTTTTCTTTATAAATTCGATTAAATTAATTTACTGAAAATATTTGTTTGACTGCATACAAAACTTGAAGATTTTTTTTCAAAAGAATTCATTCTTTTTACTTGATTTCTGTAAATCGAATTGTTTTTGATTTTATTATGAACATCACCATTCGTCATTTTGAATTGGATTGGAAATTGGTAAGGTGACGTCAATCACCAGTCAGTGATTTGAATGATTTTATATATTTTAATTAGATGATAGACGCACAGTTCACAGTTCCTCTGCAGACGGTTTAGTGTAAAACTACATAAGTGTTATTTTTTGAATAACAGTAACTTGTAAGTTTTTAATATGGAGTCTTCGCCGGATATTACAACCCCCGAACCTGAGAGTTCTACGGCTAGTAATACCTTTTTTGAACTCATATACAGCCCCGTGAACATACTTCTTACTGTTATTATTATAGTGTTAGTGTATAAACTATTTAAAAGCAAGTCTACCAAAGTTGCTGCGGTGTTGCCGGAGCTTCCAAAACTACGTAAAGATATGACTGTTGCGGAATTACGGCAGTATGATGGTTCTCAGCCCGATGGACGAGTACTAGTAGCGGTAAATGGCTGGATTTTCGACGTTACCCGAGGCCGTCGTTTCTATGGTCCCGGTGAGTACACTTGTCGGTAAAAGTGTTGTAATATAGGTTTAATTATGAAAATATGTTAATTAGATTGATCAACGAGCTATGCAAGTGTTTATAAATAGAATTGACATAGTGAGTCAGTGTTTATCACCGCCCAGTTTTGTTATGCATTGCATGCTTGCATTTTGGTTATAAGTATATTAAATATAAACAGCATAAATTTTATGCTTGTTCAAAAATCTCATATTCACATTTGAAGGATACATGTGCTATATACATAACTACCTATTTCAGAAGTTTTATAAACATATTGAAAGTATTTACTAATCATATTATTCCAATTGCATATTCTAGTTTTATACATACATATATATATATTAAATATGTTATTGCTTATATATTTGTGACTACCTGCTTTTGTAACAATCTAAAGAAACTGTAAATATACTTTTTTTTTAAATTATGTCACTATATTACATATTAATCTTTATAAATTAATTATAAATTTTTTCTTCATTTAATCAATATTAGTATTTTATAGGTGGTCCATACGCTGCTTTTGGCGGTAAAGATGCATCCAGAGGACTTGCAACATTTTCTGTTACATCATCAGACAAGGAATATGATGACCTCAGTGATCTCAACTCAATGGAAATGGACTCTGTGAAAGAATGGGAAGCACAGTTCAGAGGTAATATTTACTGTGATTTTTAATTTAAGATCTAGAACAGGATAGTTTATACAAGATTTCATTAAATGGAAATCATTAATTTTTTTATACATTCTCATGATTATTTCTAATAGCATTTGAAATTTCAATTTAGTATTTGAAATGAAGATAAACATTCACACACTTAACAGTAAGATTTGTCAATATCTATATTACACTAACTGTCCACTGCAACTCAATCTGTGAGGGTTTAAAATATTAATAGCCTATGTATTTTCTCCAGACTATGTCGAATTTCAGTAAGATCCATGCATTTGTTCTGTAGATACCTTTATAATATTAGAAAAATGTTATTTTGTTGATGTTTGGTGTTTTTCACATTGTTACATAAGTTACTATGTTACATACAAGTACATTTATTGTTTAGTGAACTTATGTAACTGTTTTTAACATCATTAATTTAAGACGAGTTACTTTAACTTGAAATCTTTAACCACAAAAAATGAATATCAACTTGTTGCAGTGGGTTTATAATAGCAAAAGCCTGTCTTGACCATATATTCTAGCACTTGTAAAATTTAAGCCTGTTTTAAAAAAACAAATAATTGAATTACTCTTTAGTTGAAGAACAAGTTACACATTTAAAACTCTGATCAACTAGCTGTCGCCTTTGACTTCGTGCGCTTGTTATTAAAAAAAACTTAATTAGTAGCCTATGTTCCAGACTATGTTCTACATTTACGCCGAATTTCATCAAGAACCATACAGCCGTTCTGGAGATACCTTCAAACAAACATCCATCCAAACATTCACATCAATACTAATATTATAAAGCGGCAGTGTTTGTTTGTTTAAACGCACTAATCTCAGAAACTACTGATCAGTTTTGAAAAATTATTTTTTTGTTGGATAGTCCATTTATAGAGGAAGGCTTTACACTACGACCAATAGTTTTTTTTTAATTCTTTGCGGACGCAGTCGCGGGCGACAGATAGTTTATTATATTAGTAATATTAAAAACTGACCGAGTTTATGTGTAATAACTGTAATGTTTGTTGCAATATTTTTCATAGTTATCAAGACAAAGAAAAATCAAAGCCTTTGTCTGGATGCACTACACTGCTTCAGTATGTTATCAATACTAAGCTTTACAAAAATCAACTCAATGTCTAAAGGTGTTAGTGATAAAATTGATTAACACGGCTTTCATGTACTTTGAGTACATAAGAGTATAAGATAACATTGAATAAGATGTAAAACTTGCAAATTTTTACACAATGTACATTAAAATCATTCTTATTTTAAAGTAATAAGATTCAAAGTTCAACAATTGAATTGTATAATTGTAAGTCTACTTATACAGGCCTCATTTATTCAGAATCATTCGCTAATGTCCTTCTGTATCATTATTTTTTACAGTCAAAATTTCGAAAGTAGGTCATATGTTGAAACAAGTTCAATTTTTAACATCGGTTTACTTTCTAAAGTACGTTTTTTAATCAAAAACAAATGTTCCAAAGCATATTTAAACTTATTAATTAATACTACCGCAAATGTCTTGTAGTTCTCCCTGTAGTGAAAGTAAGGAAATCTACACTAAGAGTAGCTTAAGTGACCAATTAATGTCTTTGAGTGTAGCAGTAAGACTTGTTATTGAAGTGTAAAGTCTGTATACTAGAAAATTTAACATTTTGATCTTGATTCCCATATTATTATTGCATCATCGCATTGAACAAAATTTGGCGCGAATTTGTACGATATCAGTAACGTATTATTTGGCGATAATTTACGTGATGTTGTAAAAAAATTGTCATCTGTTGAGCATTTTGAAGCAACTTTATTTTTTTTTAGTACAATATTCCAATCCGAAGCCGTAGTCAACTTAAACTTTCGTAGCTGTTCTCCCTCCGAAGGTAAAAATAGCTTGAAAAGTATTTTCAAATCGGTCGTGTAAGATGTAGTCTGTTAATACCTTTAGAATGTGTGTAGTATATTTTTAGAGAATTACCCCAAGATGTGACAAATATAGACACAAAATTTGTTTATTTTACTTGTATTTTATGAACTTTACAAAAATTGAATGCAATCATTTTCTTATCAATGTATATTTATTTAGGGATATCTTGTTGTGCAACAAATATGACCATGCCTTATCTACTCTCTATCTTTGATCTACATGACACGCCTAAAGATTGATTCTGTTGTATTATGTTTTTACAAGCTGACCCTTATTTCTCCTGACCGCCTGCGACTCCGTCCGCGCGGAATTAAAAAAAAACTTCATAGTAACCTATGTGCACTTTCAGGTTATGTTCTACATCTATGCCAAATTTTAGCGAAATCCATTCAGTCTTTCTGGAGGTACCTTCAATCAAACATCTATCCATACATCCAAAGATTCGCATTTATAAGATTTAATATATTTTCTCGTACTATAATTAGTGTTTGTTTAATGATATTTAACCTCATTTTTTGTTGTATTTTTTGTTCCTTCTGTGGTATTACTTCCTTGATACATAATTGGTTTCAAAGTTTATTTATAATAAAATCATAAATTATATAATAGCTATAGCTAAAAGTACTTAAACTAAAACATGTTACCATTTTCTATCGCCGATACATTGAAAAAAACTTATCGATTTTTTTCAGAGTCAATGAAATAGAAAACAATTAGATTATTTGAATGTGTCGTTTAATAACCCACAGTTGGATCTGTCTGGATCTTTTAAAAGATCAATATATTCAAATCAAAGTCACAAGATAATTTGAAATCTATAACGTAGCCATATAATAGCTTCTTCAGAGCGCCAGCGGCCATGAGACGTAATAAAACTAAATTAATTTTGCTGGAGTAATGTTGAGGCTCGTTGTTTATCGTAATATATTCAAGGCCATGTACGTGAATGTTGATTAATGTTTATCTGAATTATTATACCTGTTTTGTTTATACACTCATAGTTTTTTTTACGACTGACTTGCGTTAATATGTTGGAAAAAAAGACAATTTTCTTTAACAAGAAAATCATAATGTTACACGGAGTGTTTTTTATTAATATGTTTGTTATACTTTTAATATTACTTCAAGTTTTGGTTTAAAAAGATGTAATAGGGCATTGGCGACATCATGGGAGGGCAGTGGTATACCTCTCCCCTAGAGAATCATAAAATGTAAAAAATCTCTCTATGTCTTTGAAATAAAAAAAGTATTTTTAAAACTTAAAACTTTTGTATTCCAGAAAAATATGAACTGGTTGGCAAACTTCTTAAACCCGGCGAAGAACCTACGAGTTACTCAGACGAGGAAGTAGAGGAGTCCGATGCTGAGAAGAAGAAAGAGAAGTGAAGAGAAAGAGTCCCGAATTCGGCTCCACGGCACGCCAGACTCGACTCTAAATACGATCCTTTAAAAATGTATTTATTATTATTTTTTTATATTTTGATAAAAGCTTTGCTAAGCAAAAAACTATCGTAGACTGATAACCATTCTAACTGTATGTATCGCCTAAATATTATGTTTGTTTTGTCAAAAAAAAATCTGAAATAGTTATAAAGCGCATTTACATTTGTTATCATGTTCTACTCGGTGTTATTTTATTGATAATTTTTCTTTAGGTTTCACGAAATTGATTTGGTGAAGTTTTAATAATTTTTTTTCTCCAATGGTTTAAATATATTGCAGAAATAAAAACAAGTTAGTGTCAGTGCATTGATTTGGTAACATGAAGCTTTCTCACCTACTTTGAGAAGTGTTTAGGCCCTTTAATTTAACATTGTTAATTTTTTTTTACGTTTTATAAGCTAGCGCTTGACCACGATTCCACCTGGTGAAGTGGAAATTTGGTCGAAAGATGGTACGCGCTAGCTTAGTAAGCCTATTCACTCTTCTTTAAATGCTTTTTGCACTTTTGTATGTATTATATAAATGTGTAAATGAATAAGACTGAATGTTGGTGTAAATGTGCGCTGAACGCTGAACTAAAACTAAGAAAATGCTAAAGCACATTCCTAATTTTGTTTGAATGAAAAAAAATATTACGGCTTATTTGAAAATTTATGTCTATATGTGGCAGAATGCAACATAACATTATTTTTATATCAAAAATGGAAATGTAAATTCTGTAAGTATATTTGTCCCTCTTTTACGCATGACTTTTCAATGTCCTTTCTCTTTTGAGCTGTCAAAATGAGCGTCGAATTTATTTTTAAATTAATTCCTATTTGAATTCAATTTCATTTTATGTATTATATACAAAAAAAATCCTCTATAGAGTCAACTTTTATGATCAAACTATTTTGTGTGATCTAATTTTTTTGTTTGCTAAAATGTATCATGAGGCTATGTAATCTGCGAGTAGAAATTGTTTTTGTCTATTTTTGGTACTTAATGTCTAGACATTTATTGGTTTAAGTCAGTAAAAAAAATTATGTGCATAATATAAAACATGTAAAGTTTGAGAGATTCTGAATCTTGAATTGTGTTGAATGTGTGGGTTGTGTGAATTGTTAATCCTTTTGTTTTTTACGTTAAATATAGTTTATTAATCGGCGTAAGCAAAGTGAAAAGGTCCTAAAATGTAATGTTTTTTATCATAAAATGATTTATTTTACTGTAAACCAGTGAGTAATGTACCTTGTATGTAACCTTGTTGGAAATTTTTAAGGTCAATTTAACTTATGTTTTATTTATTTTATTTTTGTTTTATATTTCAGACATAAAATACACGGATATTAATTTTACGATTACAATCATTTTCTGATTTGCATACGCCGACGTATTGTAAGTGCTATATACATGTAAATATTGAAGGCATTTATGTATCTTACGTAGATTTTAATAAAATTTAAACTTTCTGTTGCTGAAATATGTTTTATGCGATGTTGTTTGTAAAAAGTGTATTCTTTGTTTTTTTTTTTAATTAAACTAATGTTTTTTATTGGAATGGTGTAGTTTTAATGAGCAATTCTTCTTAAGTTCTCTATACCCAAACTTTTAAGAAGTATGACCTCTAGTAGTTGACATACATTTTTAGTAGGGAATGCGAATTGGGGTTTTTGGGATCGCGAGTAGCAAAATCCCCGCTTTGTCTCTAATACTATCATTATTTACTAAAATGGCGTTACGCAATAAATGGTTCTGACTGAATGTTCTTGGTTGAGCCAGCTGCTACCTGGTAAAATAAAAATGCACCCAGTCTGCTTGCCCTTGATTTACGTGGTCTCTTATGGAGTTCTGATACGTTTTGGTCTCTGTCTTGTAAAATAATATGAGAGGGATGACAAGGTATCGCAAGTTAGTGTCAATACAACAGAAACCCATTTATAGTTTCCTAATTCCATTGGATGGCAGTTGGAAAATATGTGAACTAATAATGTCATTTTGACAGCGTTATATTTTACCCAATGAGGGAACGGGGGCAGCGGGGTTTATGTTGCTATTTTCATAATTTCGAAACTCCATAAAATTTGAGGCGAGACGTTATGGCATGTAGGTTCAGATAACCGATTCGGTCAATATCAACTTAAATAGTAAGGAATTACTATAAGAACTCAGGTCCAATTTTCTGTAGTTGTAACATGGCAGCTTTTCGGAAGTTAGGAAATTTTTGCTCACTCACTGGTAACCCTTAAAACTTAGACGCTCCTCTGTCAATGTCAACTTACTGTCATAAAAGTGACATGTTATTTGTTGGACTATACGTAGTCGCATTTTTTCTATTTTTTATAGATTGAATTGAATGCTTATGCATTTATGGTAATCGTCGATAGGAATGGGTTTTGGAGTAATAATACTCAAATATTAATACAAATTTTAATAATTCTTATTTTCTTTATTAACCTATATTTTTATACAATAGTAAACGTTCTGGGGTACAGTTGGAACAAAAACAACGGTCTATAATGATCACATAATTATATTATAAAATGATTTAATTACATTAAAACAGAATAAGTATAATAATATACCTACGCTACGAACAACTTACAATCATAAACGCAGAAGCGGACAAGGATGTACTCTTCTCTTGTATTTACAATTTGTACATTGAGCGCTCTCGTAATATTCATACGTCCATCGCTCTACACCGATAATAAATAGTGCGCATGTGTGTCTGTGTGTGGGGGCGCGGCGCCGCGCTACGCTATATGGTACAGGTGCGGCGCGCGCGGGGCGAGGGGCTTATGTACAACACTACAACTGCTCGACGAACTTGGTGAGTTGGTCCTGCGGCGTCATGGGCGGCGGCTGGTCGTCGGGCGCGTGGTGGGGCGCGGCCGGCGCGGGCGATTGCCGCAGCAGCAGCAGTTCCGAGGGCGTAGGCGGCCGCGGCGAGGGCGTCGCGGGTGGCGAGCGCTGCAACACGCCACCCACGCCCACGCCGCCGGGGAAGTAGCGCGCACTAAGGCGCGGCGCGCCGCCGGTCGCGTACGGCGCCCGCATGCCCAACATCCCGCCCGCCACACCACCCACCCCGCCCACGCCCGCCACGCCGCCGCCCTGCTTGAACCAACCGCCGCTCGCCATGCCCACATTGCCCACGCCGCCGACGCCGCCTCCCGATACTCCACCCATGTTAACTCCGCCCACGCCACCGACGGCTCCTCCCACCTGACAATAATATCTTATGTTACATTTCCACATTCTATCGTGAATTATACCGTGAGTAACACCGCCTGAATTAAAATTTAAGATACTACAAATTTTTAAATGGTTATAAAAATAGATGTCAAGAATGTCTTGCAAACCCAGGATTTGTAGAAGTAATCGGAGAAAGTCCATGTCTAACTGTGGGCTCAGATATGTTGATAAGGACGGTAAAATAACGTACCTGTGTCTGTTGCGGCAGCATCTGGTGCATTTGCACCCTCTGCTGCTGCGGTTGCATCATGTGCTGCAGTTGCTGCTGCTGCTGCTGCACGCCGCCCACGCCAAGCCCCACGCCGCCGATGCCCACGCCACCCGCGTTGCCCACATTACCCACGGGTCCGACGCCTCCTACTCCGCTGGCGACCTGTTGCTGGCTCTGGGCGTTCTGTTGTAAAAACATTTAACTGTTGAATACATTGCCACAAGAACTTAAGTTTATTTACTAGAGAAATATAATAATAATAATTATTAATGTATAACATTTATAAATATCTTGTCCTTGTGTACTGACCACTAATTGCCTTTGTTTGATGAAGGCCGCCATGAGCGGCGGGTTGGACTTGAGGATCTGCAGGATTTCCTGCTGCTGGTTGTGACTGGTGGGCGAGCGCAGCGTCGCCATCAGCTGCTGCAGCGCCTTCTGGTGTACCTGCGGCGGCGTCTGCTGCGGCCCTGGCGGCGGCGGCGCTCGCTAAAACATCATAAAAAGTGTTAACTACTGTTTGTAGAATTGTACAAATTTGCCGATGTTTTCTAACCGAACGCAATGTACGCAAGGACATGTGCATGTGTGTACCTGCTGCAACTGCTGCTGCGCGGCGTGCGGCGGCTGCTGGGGCGCGTGGTGCTGCAGACGCGGGTGGTGCTGCGCGTGGTGTGGTGGGTGATGCAGCGGGGGTGGCGCGGCGCGGTACCGCGGAGCCCACTCGCCTCGCACGCCACCCGCGCACCCCGGCGGGCCCATCGCCGCCTGCTTGCCGTACGAGGGCGCTTGCTGACGCGCCGCTTCCTCTTGCACCTGACACACACAAATTCAACATTAACATTAGCGTCGATTTGTTATTACAAGGCAATAAGGGGTCTTACCATGACATTATGTATGTTACATTGTCTGCATTCTGCGATTGTTTAATCATAATATGTAATTTAGAAACGATTACAATCTTAATATAATAACCTTTTATTCTTAACCTAAAACAAACTTTTGGTTGTTTACCTTTTCTCACACAGTTTGATTAGGTCACGGATGGCAAGGCAGTAATACGTACCTGCTGCAGTACCTTCTGCACGTTGTGTGGCAGCGCGTGCGCGGCGGGCTTGGCAGGCGCGGAGGTGTGCGGAGGCGAGGCTAGCGGCACGCTGGCGTGCGGCGGTGAGGAAGGCGCGCAGGCGCCGCGTGTGTTCATGGCGGCGACGCGTCGTCGCAGCAGCTGCTGCTGCTGCACGCGCTGCTGTACCTTCTGCTGCTTCAACTTCTGCTTGATGCTGCTGCAGAACGGCACCGAACACTTGGATTCGGTGCAGTGCTTGGCGTGGTAGCAGCAGAGCGCGATGAGCTGCTTGCAGATGGGGCAGTCGCCCTTCGTCTTCCGCTTGCAGATCTTGGTGTGGGCGACGACGCGCTTCATCTTCTGGCACGAGGGCAGGCGGCAGTTGGCGTCGCGGCATTGGCACGCGTGCACCAAAGACTGGATGCAGCGCTGGATGGAGAGCTTGCGCGCCTCTTGCGGGTTGGCCTGCTTCATGTCGCCAGGCGAGGAGTCCACATCGATGTCGAGGCCGAGCTTCTCCATCTTGTGTGGGTGTCCCTCCTTCTCGTGGCAGGGCACGCAGAGGTCGAAGTCGTCGCAGACGGTGCAGTGGAAGCGCGTCTCGACGTGCGACTTGCAGCTATTGCACGTATACACGAACTTGTCCTGGCCCTGGTTGTGCAGCTCGTACAACATACACAGCGTGGAGAAGCGCGCGCGCCGCGTCGACGAGAACTCGTAGTGGCGGTCACGCGCCATCGTCAGGAACGCGTCGCGCCCGTCCATCAGATCGCAGTTCACTAACGGGTCGGGGTCCTGGATTGGCTGCATTTATTAAAAAAAAAAAAAACAAATTGTATCAATACTCAACCCAGTTCAGTTTGTCTAGCTAGATTGTATTTTGGATACTACATGTAGATATCAATAATTTAAGAATTTATGAAAGCTGTGTATATTTGCTTAGTAAAAACATTTACAATTGCCTACTTTGGATACATGTTAGTGTGGGATATATTTGCGATTGCCACTTACCGCTAAGCTGGCGGCAGACTGTGCGGAATGTAGCCTGATGACAAAGAACACCTCCTTATGTTTCTCCATGGTGGCAAATATCTTTGCACTGAGATCGCTGCCCTGCTGCTGGTCGCTCTGCTTCTTGCTGTTCTTTCTCTGCGCCGCCTTCGATTTGTTCGATTTCTTTGCCTTCTTCTGGCCTTTCTTCTTACCATCAGGACCTTGCTCATTTTCTTCAGAAGACTGGAATATCTAAAATAATGTTAGACATATTCTCTCTAACCTCTGCATAATAAATATGATGATGTATGAATGGGGTGGAATTTTGAAAGCATATTAATAAATAATTTTGTTGAAATTCAGAATGAGATGTAAGCATAAATAATATTTTACTTAATTATTACTCATTTCATGTAAAATAATTTTGAAACAAAATATTTCTTGTAAATTATACAATAGTTAATGGAACATGATCGGTGAATACTGACCACTGCCTCGGCGGCCTCTGCTTGCTTCCTCTTCTCCTCCTCCTCCTGGTCCAGCTCCTTGATAGACTCCTCCAGGACGTTCGGCCAGAAATCGCCCTCGAAGTAGGGGAGCTCTGCCGCCGAAGAGATATTGTCCTCCATCGCTTGCTTAAGTATATCTTTGTAATCTAATATTATTCTCTCTATGATACCTTTATCTAACATCTTTTTATACCACTCTTGCAACCTTTTAGGTTTGGGTATCTTTTGTTCGGGCGGATGGCAGTGGAAAATATAGTCGTCCCCCTCCGATGGGGGACATGCCCAAATATGGGCCATCGTGTACCCCAATTGCTTGGCGTAGTCCAAATAACCTAATAAAATCTCATGATATACCGCAGTCCTATACTGTCTAGGTTGGAAGAAATGTACAGAGTCTAGATATGCTATATAAACACGCCTCGTGTTTGGTGACGGACTTTCACTACCATATTCCTGAAAATAAAATAACAATAAGTACGCAATAAAGGATTAGATATTCAACAATTCAATGTATATTGAACCAAACATACCTGCACATGCATTCCAAAGAAACATATATCAGTTCCATCCACTTCTTCAAATGCAAATAACGCTTTCGCCCGATACGGGAATTCAGGAGACAATTCACTTGATTCTACAAATCTAGATTTCATACCTGGCTTAACTTCTACAATCTGAAAATGCAAATCATTTTAAATAAAAATTATTAGTTCCAAGTGGAACAAATACAATATGCTTGCGATGTAGTATGATAGTACGTACCTTATCAGAAGATGCGACCACCCTGATATGCACCTCGCCCGCACCAGCCTCTTTCTTCTTAAGAAAATTATTGACTCTAGTCTCAATATAAATGCCGAGCTTCGAAGTGGGCAACTTCTTTGCACAAAACTTGTTATCTTTCCGCTTGGCCCCTTTCTTCTTGAAACAATTATCACAGCAGAAGCCCTGGGGCCAAATCTGGTCGTGGTGGAGTACGCATATCTGATGCTGCTTCCGCCCACAGTCCATGCACACCACAAACGGTTCTTGCTCCAAATGATCGTTTTTCATTTCTTTAAATTGATCCTTCTTGATGGCTCTAAAAATTTTAACTAAATTTAATCATTTACTAATGATATTAAATAGCCATTTTTACATCAAATTTGTTTAATAATTTTAACTAAAAATACAGCTGATACTATAAAATAATTAACATATTTCATCGGTATTGAAATTGTTGAAAAATAAGTGAAACAGATAAAAATGTTGTGAATAGTAAATAAGGAGGAGAGAAGGTAAACTTACGTCTGTGGCTGTAGCGGGTCGTCTCCGAGCGTGACGGTGTCGCCCTGGATGTCATTGAAGCACTTCTGGCAGAAGGTGTATCTATCGGACACAACCCCATACGCTTTTAGACTTTATTCACAAGGCCGATCCGTAGCGATGGTAGTGGTGTGAAGCGTGACAGGAACGTTTTGAGTGCAGACAAGGAGGTGCGTGGAGAGGGCGAAAAAAAATTAGTAAGCAACGACAACATAAAAGGGATTAGTTGTTAGACAGTTCACAAAAATATTGTGGCGACAGTATGGCTAACAGTCGACAGCGAAATCTACTCGAGCACGACACCAAAGAACACTGTTCGACACAGGTCTCATACAAATAATACACAAGCAGAGGAAGGCTAGCTAGGTACTGCTTCTACCTGCACGTGTAATAGCACTACGTATATGATGCGGTAGGGGAAACAATGTTCATACAATCATGACTATGTTGAAGTATTGCTCAAAATTACTTATAGCTAGCAACGATTCTCACATATAATTTTAGAAACAAAGTTAAAAAGATCATTATGCAATGTTTTGATGATGACTAAAATTAAGCCCTCGCGCCTTTATCCAATCGGAGTAGACAGACATAACAATCGTAATCCATCCATTTCGCTGAGCCTATTAAACTTCAATCTATGTAGTTTCTTTATACTTTTGCCTTTAATTGCTCAGTTTTTATTTTTCAAAATCCAACATACTGAAATTTAAAATCCAAAATCAGTTTCATTTCAACAGAATGGAATATTAAAGAATATATTTAATTTTTTAATTTTAATTTTCCGAAATATTTTTAACAGAATACAGAATGATTCAAATAGTTGATAAAATACAACCCTTTTAAAGCATGAGAGCTAGTTTTATACATACTGTTGTATGTTATTATTATTTATTTATACTTTTCATATTTACTTTGTTTCTAAAACTAATTTGTTTAAGTTATTAATTGATACGACCTTGTCATATATGTGACAATATCTTAATCAGTGATAGCTATTTCAAGACCTTAATTCAAGGCTCCTTGATAAGTATTATATAAATTAATGTTCGACATTTAAAACGTTAGGGACAATGTTAGAAAAAAAATATTTCGGCCTTGAATTAAAATGTTTTTATTTCTCTATGCCCAAAAGATTATGAAAACAATTAATATCTGTCTTTATAGCCAATTACATGTTAAACTGTCTAACCTTTTCCCAAATGTATAATTTTGATTTAATAGAGACTTTTGTTCATAGATATTCAATATAAAATAGAAAAAGACAATCATAAATATCATTTGTCCTGGCACACAGTACTTTAAGGACAACAATAAAAGCTCAAAAACTCAAAGTTAAATTGTAAAAAATATGAAATGTTATTACCAATTAGTTAAAAATTAAGTGTGCTTACAAGATCAACCTTAACCTTCAAAATATTTCCACAAAATTTTACTCTTTCCATGATTGTCTTTTTCGCGAATTGGCAACCATGAACAATTAACAGTTTTGTTTACCCTTAATTTTTCTACTTCCGTATTAGATTAATTGATTAAGAAGTTTTTGTCGCATTGTTCATGGTCAAGAATTTTTTTAATAAAACTATTTTATACAATTTAGTTCCCAAATATTTTCAATATTGGAGATCTAAGCTGTATACAAATAATTATTTTAAAATGTTTCATTACCAACCTATTTTGATAGCTGAAGTACTTGGCGTCGCGGGGTATCGTGCACAGCTGCTTGCCGTAGCAGCACAGCACTTGAGGGTTAAACGTGTACTTCCTCCCGCAACAGTATCCCAGGTTTTGCATCACTGGGTCAATCTCTTGCTCAAACACCTCCGACAGCTAAAACCATCAATTCAAATTATTGTATGCAGCATTCAATCAAAAATCTAACTGAAGAATTCTAAAGAAATATGGGTTTGAAATAAAAAAAGAACCAAAAATATCTCACCTTTGTACAATACCTGTAGACCCTAGAGTTCTTTCTGTTGTAAAGCCACGCATTATCGAACATCAGCCAGACGTCGTCCACATACTCCCACGGGTCTTTGTATTCACCTCTGTCCAGCTTCATCTTAATGGTGGACAGATCTATTGGCTTCGTCACAATGTCAAAGTAGTCAGGAATGCCCAGGGCTTGTGCGTCGACTGGCTGTCGAAACGGCAGCGACTCCGGGTCCAGGCAGAACAATTTCTCCAACGTGGGCATCAACGCCTGCCGCAAATCTTCAGGTTTGAACACGAACATTTTCTTCGGTCCCCGGTCGGGCTCGACGCTGGAGACGCTCGCGGGCCCTTCGCTCGGTTCCTCTTTAATTTCTTGTTTTATCTCTTGTTTAACGGAGAAGTCGGGGTACCTGTCGGTCCTGTCCATGGGTTCCTTATCGCCGGGCGTCTCGGCTCTCATACCTTTCCCTCCGCTGTCCTCGTCGGGCTCTTCCTTTATTCTAATGTCGTCCTGCTCCTGTTTGATCCGCACGTCCTCGGGACTGTCTTCGGCGGAAGCGGCGGCGTTAAGCGCCGCTTTCTGCGCTGAGACGGAGGCGGGTCGTGAGGCGGGGCGCGGATCGGGCGCGGGGCTGGGGTGCGGGTGCGTGTGCGGCGTGGCGGGCGTGCCGGGCGGAGGCGGGCCCGCAGAATTCACGGGGTTGGGGGACGCCGTCGACTGGTCGCTTCGGAACGAGGAGTGGTTCATGAAAGGACTCGCGACGGGGCCCCCCGACAGGCGGACTTTAGTCTCCTGCTGGTGGTTCGGCGACGCCAGCGGTGCGGGGCCATTGGTTTGCATAGATTGGTACTGTGGCGCCGGGGAAGTCATCGGCTGTCCGAAGGGTGACATTCCGGGATTGCCTACGCTGCCTACACCCACGGAACCCCCGTTAGGTGTTTGAGGCATCTGCAAAAATATTACGAATTTACTTGATATAACACATTTTATCATTGAGTGTTTAAAAAATAAAGCAATGAATAACTAGAATTAATAATCTTTGATGATTTAGGAATAATATTCATACCTGATTAGGACTAGGTCCCGGAGGTCCTACTAGATTATTCTGGAAGGCCATGCGACTCGCAGGCATTGGCAAAGACATGCCAGGTGAAGGTATTCTCAGTCCGAGGCCGGGCGGCGCGGATCCCAGGCCGGGTCTCGCCAGACCTACTCCGGGCCCCACGCCCGGGCCTACGTTGGGCCCGACGCCAGAGCCAGGTCCAGGTCCAATAACACCTCCGGGCGCCCTCACTCCCAGGACGCCGGCGGACATGACACCAGATTGTTGCATCTGTTGCTGCTGCTGCTGTTGTTGTTGCTGTTGTTGTTGCTGCTGCTGTTGTTGCTGCTGTTGTTGTAATTGTTGTTGCTCTTTTCGTTTTTGTCTCTTTTCTTCTAATTCCTGTTTATTTATTTTATATTTAATACAATTTATTTTAAAAAGCATGACTCTAAAACAAAACCGAACTGGGATCTTTACAAAGCATAATCTGATAGCAATGATGGGATATTTGGATGCTTCGCTTAAATTAATGCTTAGTGTAATGTAGTTATTTGGAACACTTACCTTTTGTATTTTGTATATTTTTTCAGCGAGTAGATGATAGTATTCAGACCTAGTGCTCGCCATTTCATACATGTCACCTTCGACCTTTCTCGCATACGCGACCAAATTGTGCATTCTCTTGTCCAGCATTGCTGTGGGGTCCGGCGTCGGAAATATAGCTTGCACCCTGTAGGTTAATGGCTTATTGTCAAGAAGATGCTAAGAAAACTTACTAATTACATATGACTCAAATTCCATGACATGGACCAATCTAAAATAAAAGATAATTGATAAAATAATGTTGCTTAGTTTATCAAATAAACTTTTCAAATGTTATAAAATATCTTATTACTTATATTTCATATTATATCTACCAGGATTGAGTAAAAAAAAAAACTTACAGTTTATGAACTAGATGGTTTCTGAGATCAGCAGTTATAGACTGGTGCCATTCCTTGGTCCCTGACACCGGGTTGGCGGTGACGGGCCCGCCGGGCAGCTGCAGCGTACCCGTCGTCATCTGAACAAACGAATGCTTCATTGCATTTATAACATATACAACTCTTTTCTATATCAAGTTGCATATCAACTGTTCTAGAATTGTGTGACTTATTTTGAGTTAGATAAGTTGTGTTAGAGACTCACAAGTTGCGTTTGCTGCTGCTGTTGCTGCTGCAGATCAGGCATCGTCTGCTGCGCGTAGAGCGGTTGTAGGGTGGGCTGCGGGGCGTCGGGCAGTGCTGGTCGCGGCGCCGCCATGCGCGCCACGCCGCTGCGGAACCCGCCCGCCATGGAAGTGGGGCACGTGATGCCGAGCGCCTCGTAGGCGCGCTTCATATCGCCCGGCGCAGGCGCGCCCGCACCCCCCGTGCCCGCCACACCGCCCACGCCACCCGCCAGCGGCGCGTTCAGTGGACCTGCGCCCCCCGCGCCCGCGACCGCCGCCACGCCACCTGTCGGCCCGCCTCCAGCGGCCCCAGTCGTCGCGTGCGAAACTATTGCTGAACAAATTTATGCACTTTAATAAAAGATCATGTCATAAGTAAGTTTTGTTGATACGGTCTAACGCTATTCAAATCTAGACCTATTTTTATATTTCATTTCACACTAAAGTTTCAACGTGTTCAACGTTCAAATTTTACTCCCAATACATTATAAGATTAAATGTAATTCTTTATTTAACAATTTACACTAATAAGAACTTTTTGGTTTAAATTTAGATATTGGTTCAGAATAGAACATAAAAATATTACCTTCTCCCTTTAAATTCCTTTTACGCATAATTGCACGTTATTAACATTAAATATATTTTTCGTAAGGTAGATTAAATTATTTATTTAGTTTTGACAATCAGAAACAAACAGATGAATTCTAATTATTTCAATCAAACCTATGATTATTTTAAAATAATAACTACAAATTATTATTAAAACAACTTTCGTTAATAAACTACTTAACACTTTTTTACTTAAAAAGGGTACTTCGGAAATTTCAAACACAAACACTATGATAAAAGCACCAGTAAATAAAATCTGACAGTTTTATGAACAATAATTTTATAAATACCCTGCATTAAAAAAAATACTTCTAGCCTACCCTAAATTAGTACCATTTTGCGATTGAATATTTTTAAATAATTAAGTACAAATTAATTTTTAATGCAGTCATTTAGATTTTAATAGAACCAATCTTGACTGCAATTTAAATCGTAAATAACTTACGGTTCATTGTACTGCTTCTTCTATCTGCCTGTTTCAGAGGTAAACAGACTGGACAGTCATTCTTGTTACAGTGCTTCCAATGATTTATTATTTGTCTTGATGATGAGCAGTGAGGTATCGCACAGTTCTTGCCCGCCTGCAAACAAGTAATTACATTAAACATTTAACAAATAATTTAGCTACATACCCTAATTCGTACATTTATTAATTAATAAAAATTATAAGATAAGCATTGGGTTTATTCAGTTCCATATCCTTACTTGAACTTTTCTATATTTCATTACAACCTTACTATTCTCTACTAACAGTCAATGCAAGAATTTGACTCAAGCAGCCGATATTCACCTGACAAGACATCATGTGGTTGAGGACACCCTTCATTGTCTTGCAGTGCGGCAGCGTGCACTGCCACGTCTCGCCGTTCTGTGACTGCGACTCGCGCCGCTGGCACTTGTGCGCGTGCAGCAGGAGCACCAACTGTTGCTGTATCAGCTTGCGCTTCTCGGGGTCCGCGATCGAACCGCTAGGTGGCGCCGCAGACTAACGGTGACAAACATTTCAAAAATGGTTTAGTTATATAGAGATTGAAGTTTTTAACACTATACAAATTTTTATTTACATACCTGTGTAGCCGATTGCGGTTGCGATTGGCCACCGGCGGGCGCACCCGGCGTCTGCGGGGAGGGCGCGGGGGGCACAGCGGGCGCGGCGCCGCCCGCCGGCGCGCCCGCGTCCGGGGGCCCGAAACGCACGCCCTGCGGACAGCGCGCGGGCGGCGATTGGCCGTACGTGGGATGATAGGGCGCCAGCGGGTGGCCGCCGCCCCCCGGCGCCGCCATGCGACCAACGTGCTGCAGCCCGCCGCGCATGCCCACGCCCACACCCACGCCTACCCGACCGCCCAGGGGACCGTTCTGCATTACCTGTGACAACTTTTGTCAAATTAGAGATTTTAGATTACTTGTCATGGTGTACATTTTACCAATGTGATGGATATTTATGGTGGATAAAAGCACAGAATCAAAATATTGTTGCATGATTGAAAATTACTAATGAAATTTTTAGTTAAAAAAATATACCAATACATTCAAACATCATAAATACATTGGGAAATATTCATGGGGTTGTTTAATTTTACTTATGCTAATGCTGAATTAGACAATAATAATTTATATTTTAATGATATATTAAATAATATTATACTTACTTGCGTGTGTGGGTGATGGGGAGCCGACGGGTGATGGTTGTTAGTTACTAGTGTTGAGAGCTTATTTACATTGTTAATTATCCCACCGCCAAGCATCCCAGCACCCGTCATGTTACTGTTTGTCACTATCATATTGCCTCCAACATTGGTTACATTCATTCCACCTGGAACAAATATATTAATTGTTAAATACAACAAATATTCAGCATCAAACCTCTTTACATTGAATGCAATTATTGTGCTAATATACTTTTGAACAATAATCTAATTTTGTGTAATTGTGCTAAGGAGAAATCATTAGACTGCCATATTTTTACACTATTATACAGTTTTTCTAATTATCCAACTTGATATAAATATATACTACTGTAAATTTTCAAATAAATGAAAAAATGGCAGTTTAAAAAAAAAAATTGCCTTACAGTCAGTTGATACTGTCAAAACAGTCTTTATATACAAATGGTAGTGCAAAAATCACAGTTAAATATTTAGCTTTCGTTACTACAACACGCTGGAATAAAAATAGGAGCCTTACCTTGAATGGAACTCATGGGCATGTTAGAATGCAGTTGATTTGGATGACTTGTATTTGGCATTAACTGTGGGTGCAAATTACCCATTAAGTCTTTGGACACAGAAACATTGGGAGGTGATTGCAGATTAGGACTTTTACTCCCTAGTGTGCCCAATCCTAACGGATTGTTGTGGCCAACTAAACCACTCTTATTGCCCTGTGAAAAGACCGGGAAACATAATAACTTATTAGTATGATTTTGTAAAAAAAATATATAAATTAAAATATATTGAAAATGGTAAAAACATCAAACATAAATGTGTAGGAATTAAACATTTGTGATTGTTTTGTTTTAACTACAATTTTTTTTTAAAGTTATGGCACAAAATATAGCCAAATAAATACAATTTAAGTATATATATTGACACATGCATAGTCTGAAACCTTGACAGAATAAATATTTTGCTCTGAAATTATCTGTCCATATACACAATAATGACTAGAAGACATTAAGGTCACTTATAAAATGAAAATACAACTGTAAAAAGTTAATTAAAATGAATTGAAATTTTAAATATGTAAAACCCTTCAGTCCCAGATACTCACTTGTTGTATTAGATGACTGTTAATATGTCTATGCATAGCTGCGGTTGGGTCATCACCATTGAGTTGCTGCTGTGGGGCCATTTGTGGCCCAGGGCCTGGCCCTTGAGCTGGAGGCTTCGGCCCCGTTACACCAGGTTGCTCGCCCCAGGACCCCGCCATCAACTCATCTGGGAGGTCCTTTTCCAAGTCGAACATGTCAAGGTTCGAAAACCCATCTACTGAAACAGGCATTTCATATTTGGTAAATCTGTTTCTTAAAATAAACCTAGTCCATCATGAGACAGTATAATCAGTAAATTTCTTTATTTTTCATGATTTAATGTACAAAAATATTAATGAGAAACTTTTATTTGCTCCTGAGTAAAAATATTAATATTATTAATAACATATTTTGACATGGCTATGAAAAAGTATATTTTATGCTTAAATATGAAGTGATAAAAAGGATTAACATACTCTAAGTAAAATTGAAATTGAAGCACAATCTAACCAAATTAACCTAGACATGTATATAAATATGTTTTAAATGCTTTTAATTACTGAAAAAAACACTTCAACAATCATCATTATTTCAAGATTAGTGTAGTTCAGATTTTAATATAACATTTTGGAGTTTATATCATTAAAAGGTAAAATTGATTGTAAATAATAAAGTTAATAATTAAAAATTTATGTTTAAACTAGGTATATAAATAGGTTTTTATTAATTTTCTCATGCTATAAATATCAAAAATAAACTTAATAGCCGAGAACTAAATCAACTTTTATATTTATATACAAAAAATAATACCAACAAAAGTATATTTTGATAAAAAAAATATTCCTATAGCCAATACATTTTTAAATTCCATCCAGATTGAATTAAACATGCCAAAATAAATGCTTTAAAAATTGTATCTAAGTTTCATCGAAGAATTAAGATTCATAGTTACCTTTGAGTTCAGAGAAAAATCAGTTTTGAATAATTTAAATTAATTAAAATATAACATATTAACCTTGGTAACAAATTCAGATGTTTCTATTAGCAAAAACTCATAGGGCATAGATAGAATTTGACATTATTAGTTATAACCAATATTTCAGTTACTTGTTTCAATAATTAAAAAAAACAAAACATAACCCATTTTTAGCATAACAAGAATATGCAGTTTTAGCAATTTACTTTTTAAATCTACTAAAATATGGGACAAATTTAATTAGGAGAGATCATTTACCTTCGTAATGCAGTGTTTTATTGAATATTAAATCATAAAACATCATATTTTGGTCTCTATGAATGACATCAGGAATAAACATTAAAATCATATTTTGAACAAAAATTACCTAAATTGTAATGGCGATATGTGAGAAACTGTATTTAATATGTAGTTTATAATTTGTGTTACGATAAAGCATTGTAAATATAACTCTACGTATGTGTAAAACTTTATCATGAATCTTTTTTATAGTAAGTTTTGACTTGAAGTGCTACTTTAATTTACAAAAATTCGTATTGTAGGAAGATTAATATCCTTATTAATATCTTTTCATTCTTTTTTCTATGTTTTACGCTCATAGAACAATAATACGACGCAAAACTTACAAGGCGCTAACAAGAGCGAATGTAAAATGTCAAAAATCTTTGCTAGATAATATGACAGAAGTGTTTGTGAAAACCTCAAAAGTTTTATAAAATACACAAAAATACTCACCCGCGGTGTCTGAGGGACCCTGAAAAGGGTCCCGGATCATCTTAGCTCGCTTGTTAGGCGGCTCATCAACATGATGATCGGCCATGGCTCTGTTTACTAAACGTAAGCCGTCGTGAATATTTCGGCCCGCCGATTCAAATAACACTTTTATGTCTTATAACTTCAAGAAATAACATTATAAAGCGATTTATGATCCACTAAAATTAAATTCACCCACATCCCGATCGTTCGATGTCCTTCAGACCATTGAAGGCACATATTAAAATTTCTCACTCAAGTATTCGCCATTACAAAGCTCGGAATCGAAGAGCTACACAGACCCTCTCACCATCTTCCGTCGGAACTAGCACAATAAATGAAAACAAATCACTAGATTTTTGCTGCTTTATTGGACTTATTTTACCGAAATAATAACACGATTTCACTTATCTCTTTAAAATATACGGAATGGTAGAGTTTATGAAAAAATGATGTAAGAAAAAACAGCAAATTTACACGACAAATTCCGAAATACTTCTTGGTCTCTCCAGCGCAAAATGGCGGCTGTTGATGAAAACTTTTTCTACGCTTGTCAGAAAATGTCGGCCTATAAAGAGACCGCGGTCGCTGATTGGACGATGTTAACCACGTGACTGCCGGAAGTGCCGTTTTGACGCAGGATAGGACAATTCTTCTGACGTCACTACGTTCAAACTCGAAACTTTCCGAAGTTACCCGAAGACCTCAAAGTCGAAATAAAAATTTTCTTTAAACTCAAATCATGGTTTATTTTAGTAGACATGGTTCATTTACTAGTAGAAAGTTGTTTAAATATTTATTTCAAGCAATTATTTCCATGAAATTCATAATGATTTCAATTACAAACAAAATTTTTAAATTCTCCCTCCAATTCGGGAGTGGCAATCATCAATACGACGTGTCTTGATCTATGGTCTCTAGGTCACCAGAGACAAAATATGTTTCAAAGGGAAACATAGGAATAAGAAGAAAAAGCAGGACCAAGCCGATATCCACTATATTTTCAACCAAATAAAATTATAAAGCGTTTTAAGAAAATGTTAACAAATAAAGACAAAATAATTTATACGTAATCTAGTTCAAAATAATTCTTAGAAAACTAAATTCATTTCGTTGTAGTTAAACTTCTCGCCGAGTCGAGATAATCTCGTTTTACATAGTGCTAAAATAATGATAGGGAAATAGAAATTAATCGTGTTTTAATTATTTCTATCACATTTCTTCAGTTAGGCCACAACATATATATTCTTTGACAAAACCTAAGTCGTTTATTGCCTATTTGCTTATCTGTTTTGATTAACTAGTTTACTAATCTTTTATTTATGAAATTTTGCTTGAAACAACATGAAATGACCATGTTATAAATGTTATATTTTGGTAATGAAAAAATGTTTTATTTGGTCTAAAATTTAAAATTTGATTGTCTGCGTTTAGTATAAATCATATGTATCCAATTTTTTTCTATACAATGACTACTAAGTTTAAATTTTTTGAAAAGGTTTGTTTATACACTCTTAACTAAAAAATCATTTGTAGATTTGATCTTTTGCTTGTATTATCATATTATTAACATTTTATTTTTTCAGATATTAAGTAATAATGTTTGCGAACATATACAGAACTCGAAATATATGAAATTAAAATATAACCACAACGAGAAATGTATTGTTATTAATATTAACAATGATAATAAAGACAAAAATATTATTAGTTCTGAATCGTGTGCAAAATATACAAGTCCTTTTGAATCACATACATTTAAGGTAGATAGAGATATATTTATAAAAGAGACTTTGAACAATTTCAATGAAAGTCAACCATCACAACCAAACCCAAAAAAGGTTGTTTTAGATTTCAGTTCCCCAAATATAGCAAAACCATTCCATGCTGGTCACTTAAGGTCGACAATAATTGGTAATTTTATAGCAAATATTAATACATTTTTCCAAAATAAAGTAGTCAAAATTAATTATTTAGGTGATTGGGGAACCCAGTTTGGAATTTTACAGTATGGTTTGAGATCAAAACAAGTTGATTTAAGTAAATTTGAAACAGATCCTATTAGACAATTATATGAAATATATGTGGAAGCTAATAAAATGGCCTCAAATGATGGAAGTGTGCAAGATGAAGCAAGAAAATATTTTGCAAACATAGAGCAAGGGAAAACAAGCTTAGAAAATTGGAGAAACATTAGAGACATAACAGTTCAAGAGCTAGAAAGAGTATATAATAGATTAGGAATTCAATTTGATACTTACCACTGGGAATCAGATTACAACGGAAATGCTATAAAGGAAGTAATTAGATTACTTGAAGAAAATAAAATAATCACTGAAACAGAAGAAGGCAAGAAAGTGGCTCAGTTCAGGGGAAAAGATGTTACAGTTTTAAAGAGTGATAATTCAACATTGTATCTTTCAAGGGACATTGCTGCATTATTAGACAGATACGAAAAGTACAAGTTTGATAAAATGTTATATGTTGTTGATAATGCACAGAGTGATCATTTTGCTGCAGTATTTTATATTGTTAATCAAATTAACAGTAAATGTGCTAATGCCTGTGAACATGTAAAGTTTGGTAGAATTAAAGGCATGAGCACAAGAACAGGAAATGTTGTTTTTCTTAACGATATATTAGATGAAGCAAAACGTAAAATGCAGGAGAAACAAAAAGCATCCAAAAGTAATTTTTTTTGCATAAACATTATTACAGTTTTTTAGTAAATATTATGAACAAGTGATATTACAGACACAAAAAAATGCTATTCTCTTACTAAACAGTTAATATTGATAAGAGGAAAAGAATTAGTAGAAATTTGGAATCTATAACTTGTGACCATAGACAAATAATTACTGTATTTAAATAAAATAATCTATGGCATTTAAAATATTATACATAATATGTTATTACTTTCAGATACTAGAAGTTCTGCAATGACTGAGGAGATATGTGATATTCTCGGCATCACTGCTGTTGTGATAAATGATTTGAAACAGAAGAGGCAAAGAGATTATGTTTTTGACTGGGATAAAGCTCTCCAGAGTGAAGGAGATAGTGGAATAAAGTTACAGTATCTTCACTGCAGACTGTTCAGTTTAGAACAAAATAGCGGTGTGAAGATTCCAGATGCTTGTGCACCTGAATATCTTAAGGAGGAAGTTGTTGGTGATGTCGTGTTAGAGTTGGCAAGATATGAGGATGTCTTGCATAGAGCACTCATAGAGAGAGAAGCGAGTATCATAGTTAATTACCTATTCCGTCTAGCTAGACATGTTAACAGAATGTTTAATGAATTAAATGTAAAAAATGAGTCTAATGATGTTGCAGCTCAAAGATTATTAGTGTTCCACACTGCACGAAAAGTTGTTAAATCTAGTCTTGAAATTTTAGGAGTAAGGCCTTTAAACCAAATGTAATATAAGAGCAAATACCGTAGATTTATATTAATAAATGTTTCACAAAAGCTTACAATTGTGGTTTATTAAATAGCCCCATTTCCCTTTATAATAAACTTCTTTTTTGGTAAGAGGTGAAATAAAATAAACAGTGGATTCTCGATGTTGTATCATCAAATTAAAATATAAAATATATTGAAAAGATTTTTTTGTTTTTGAAGAGATTTTTGCATTAAGTAATGTAAGTTCCTTAATTTTCCACTATATTTTTGTTTATTTTAATGGATATGTCTAACATTCGTTACCCACATCATCTGTTACAGCTAAAATTTGGAATTTTATTACCAAACATTGGTTTCTGCTTTTGCTTAAACAGAAAGCGCTGAATCAAATGAAAGTTTTAAAAAGTAAGAATATCTTGCACTGCAAACAACATTGCAGTTATATGAAAAGATGCTGACTTGCCTAGACAAAAATCTAAAAATGCATACACATGTAAGAAAGTCGTATATTTTTTAGGTTTTTGTAATTGTTACTAAATACTACCAAAGAAAAACCTTGTAACCCACAAAGTTACAAATCATATCCTGGTAACACTGCCTCAACCGTTTGCTTTGATGTTGCTTAGCAACAATTGTAATCAAGTTGTTTCAAACATAAAACATAAACTTTGCTAATAACTTATTTTGTAATAATGATTACTATAAATAGATAAATCCAGTAAAAAAAACACAATCTTACTTAATTACATGTCAAAGAAACAAGCGAATCTACTTAGATTTCTCAAAAACAAGAGCCATCACAATGACTACTCCAAAGGTAATTTTCATTGCACTTTTTTTTTATAAATTCTACTTTATAAATTATAGCATATTGTTAGACAGTTTTGGTTTGGTAAAAATTATTTCTTATACTTCAAGTTCTTAAAATATTAATGCAGATATATGGGGAATAGATTTTAGTTTTGTTTTATAATTTATACCTTTATTGCAGCTTTTGTATAGCCTCGAACAGCCTCATGGTATGGGAGAGTTGTATTTCTTATGGCAAAAGGGAGAGTCGCGTTCTCTCTTAGCAACAACTGGAACTGATGCAACGGTGGCTATACATGATCGCTCGGGACAATTAATAGAAAGACTTAAGTTGCAAGGGTGAGTTATTAACTATTATTATAGCAAACTTCTGAAGGTGTCTAAATATGGAGACAACTTCATCATCATCTTCTTGGCCTTATCTCATTTATGTGGGGTTGGTGCATAAGGTTTATATTTGGTATGATATATTCAAAATAAGTATTATCCAAAAACTTATTTAAATTTTTGTCACAAAATGGTTATGTTATTGTATGTTTCTTGCAAAGGATCTTGTCACATTAAAAAACATAATCACATTTGAAATAAAGATTTATTGTTTTGAATCTTGTTATGTATAATATATTAAAAGCAAACTATTCTAATGTAAAAAATTAACAAAAACGATTCCAGTTTATGTGCAGGCATGCAATGGGACAACGATGGGGACTATTTAGCGGTGATTACACCCAACAGTGCCACAGTGCTACTATGGGAGTGTCATACAAACAAGAGGCTTAACATTGAAACAGGACTCCGTGAGCCACCATCTTGTCTCGCTTGGGCATTTGGAGAGCCTCTTTTAGCTGTTGGTACACAAAAAGGAAATTTAGCATTGTATAACCATCATACCACTAAGTAAGTCACAATTACTATTTAATTTTATTCATTACTAACTGTCACCAACGACGCCGTCAGCGCGGAATTAAAAAAAAACTTATTAAGTAGCCTATGTGTTCTTCCATACTATGATTTCTAGTGGTGTCAAATTACATCAAGATTTGTTGAGCCGCTCTGGAGATACCTTCTAACAAACATCCATCTATATAAACTTTCGCATTTATAATATTAGTAAGATAAATATTCTTTTGCAAAAGAAAAAATCAATTAGGTAAAGAAGATAAATTCAAAGAATAAATAATAGCAATTATTTTTAAAACCACATTATGCGAAGCAAATATGGTTTATGATTTGTAAATAATTGTATTTGAATGTTTAAGGAGAATACCAATAATAGGTAAGCATACAAAGAAAATAACCAGCGCTGTTTGGAATAGAGACAGTATATTGATACTTGCTTCAGAAGACAAAAGTCTGTCTATAAATAATTCAGATGGGGATACACTTAGAATAATCACCCTAAGGGATGTACCAAATGATTTACAGTTCTCAGAGATGAAGACTGATGAAAGGGTAGCCGGGGAAAATACAGTAAGTGTTGTCAAAATATTATTTAACACATTCAGTGCTCCTGAGTCAATCAATTTACTTTAGTTATAAATCTTAGTGGCACTGAAAGTGTTGTTCAATATTTGATTCTGTTCATTTAAAAAACATGAATAAAAATATATTTTTCAGATTAGTCTTGTGGTGGGGAAGCGAACATTGTATTTATACAATTTACTAAATCCAGAGAACCCAATAGAACTGGCATTCCAGCAACGGTATGGTTCTATAGTTTCCTACAAATGGTATGGAGATGGGTACATCCTTATCGGGTTCAGTGCTGGTTATATTATAGCTATTTCTACACACATCAAGGAAGTTGGCGAGGAACTCTTCCAGGTCAAGAATCATAAGGACAATCTTACTGATATTGCTGTATTTGGAAATCAAGCCGCTTCTTGTGGGGATGGACAGTAAGTGTATTTATTTAATATAAATTTTCTCAGTAAGAGTAATATTTCGTAACATTTGTATCTAAACCTTAGCAGCGGTAGAGACAGTTGTGTTGGTAATATTTTATGAATTACAGACTTTACTTTTAGGAATGACAAACTTACGGGTAGATCAAATTATGTATGTGTGTTAAGTTGTTTCTTGCCATTATTCATTTTTCTTAACTACTTTCTCTTTTTTGTCTAAGCTCGGCATTTGAAAGCACTCATAAGATTGTGATGGTTTTTTTTATCTGCCCTTTTACTCTAAATGTTTGATTGAATTAATATTTATATATAATATTTGTAGATTAAAGGTGATATCATTATGGAACAATGGGGAGGTGAGGTGCACGCTGGGCGTGGCCGGGGGGGCGGAGCGCTGCGCGTACAGCGCGGACGGGCGGCTGCTGGCGGCGGCGGGGCGCGCGCTCAGCGTGCACGTGGCCGCGCTGCCGCCGCTGCACGCCGCGTACGGCACCAGAGCCCTCGCCCTCACCAACCTCACTGAACTCACCGTCTACCAGTGTATCGCTGTCGCAGATGATCTCGATGCTGCTAATAAATGTAAGTTTCACTTTTTATTTATTACTATACTTACTAAGAGAGGATCAAATCCTGGTGCACCGACCCAGCGTGAAAGTGGGATAAGGTTAAGGAGATTATGCTTTTCACTACAATATAAACATAAGAAGATTGATGTTGGTTCTGTTTTTTTTCTAAAATAATTTGATGTCTTGTAGCGGAGCCTACAGCGCTGGCGACGTACGCGTTGCCTTGCGAGCCGACGGCGATATCGCTGGGCGGGGCGCACGTGTGCTGCGCGCGCGGCCCGCACGCCTGGTACTACCCGCTGCGGGGCGGGCCCGCCGCGCGCCGACAGTACCCCGCGGACGTCGAAGCCGTGCGCATGTCCGCCGAATACGCCGCCGTCATGTTCCAGGGACGAGCTATTTTACATTCAGTAGGTATTTAACTAAAGGTTCTAGTACGTCCCCGGCGCGACTAAAGCTGAAAATTAAGTTAATATTTTACTTCATCCCAGATAGAACCACCGGATCCCTCGCAGCCGGAACGCGACGCGATATACTTCCCGGAGCCGCACATGCAGGGCTCTAAGATTGTAGACATACATTTGACGAGCGATTTCTTTATTTTTGTTACCGAGGTAATTTCATTGCATAATACAACCCCTTTAAATTATTGCTCAGTCGAAAGGAGTATAAAGGTCTATTAAATGTATTGAAAGAGATTTTTACAATAAAATAATATAATAATCACGTTTTACAACCGAGGAGTATAAAAGTGATATCGAAGCGAAATAATATTTATTGACATAATTTTTTCGCGTATTAATTATAATATAAAGAAGCAACATATATTTGTATCGATGCGTGTAGCAAGGTGAGATAGAGTACTTCGGTGTGGAGGAGTGGCGCGGCGCGGCGCGACACAAGCACTCGTGCGGCGTGGTGCGCGTGCACTGCGACATCAGCGGCGCGCGCGCATGTCTGGTGGACGAGCGCGGACGTGCGCACGTGTACGCGCCCGCAGCCGCCGAGCTCTGCGCCGTGCAGCGCGACACCGCACCCACCATCAAGTCGGACTCAATTCATTTTACATTTCTTCTACATTTGTTACACTCACTTGTTATGGGATTAAAGTACATTTGAACACACCGAGATCACGATAACTTGCAAAGTAAACTTTTTGTAAAAAGACATCGCACATACTTTTTTTAAAGGGGGATGAATAAATCAGGTCAAGTTACCCTGTGTCCCCCTTAGACATAGTGCATTGGTTTAAAAACATACCGCATCTGAGTTTTTCAGTAAGAAATATGTTTTTAGGTAAATTTCTCAGTAGCAACAGGAATCTTGCTAATATTATAAAAGTGAATATATGAATGGATGGATGTTTGTAAGAAAATTTCTCCAGAACGGCTAAATAGATCTCAGTGAAATTTGGCATAGACGTAGAACATAGTCTGGAATAAAACACAGTGCGGACGAAGTCGCGAGCGACAGGTAGTGTGAGTAAAAGCATAATTAACACAGGGGCGTAGTGTGGGACATCTGCCTGTCGGAGCGCAACGTGTTCGCGATGGTGACGGAGGAGGCGGTGGAGACGTACTACTACGCGGCGAGCTGCACTGCGGGCCCGCACGTGCACCACGTGGCCAGCACCAGCCTGCTGCCGCATCACCACCCGCTCATACTCTTCGCCGGAGACCTCTACTGCTACGCCAGCGGCCCCACGTACCTATACTGCTGCCTTACAATATTCGACAAATTTGTCTAAAAGAACACGCAGTCTACTAATAAAGTTTTTTTAATTCCGTCTGCATAAAGTAGCGGCTGACAGCTTAGTAATTAAATATAGTAGTCACCTGTTGGCTCTGTTATTGTTTTGAAGCACGTAAAATTATAACGACGGATTGTGAAAAAATGCATTATAATTTATTCGTTTCTTTTTCATAATAATAAACAAAATAGTTCATTATTTATAAGGATCTTAATTCAATTGCAGGATATCAAAGATGAGCCTGGAGTCTCACAACACTGCGGGTCTGGCGGACGCGGAGAGCGAGCGGCGCGCGGCCAACCAGCGCCGGCACGTGGACAAGCTGCTGGCGCTGCGCCGGCTGGCTGACGCCTGGCTCTTCTGCGATGCCCTCGACGAGCACGCGCTCTGGATCAAGCTGGGCGAGGCCGCCATCGCCGATCTCAATGTTGAATTTGGTCAGTCACCCTGAATATCCTAAATAATACTGAGATTTAAAACGTCGATGCGAATTTACTAAATTTACATTGCATTACTTAGCGATACGTGTTTACACAAGATTGAATGACGTCGCCATGGTCTGGGCCCTAGAAGATGCATCGCAAATCGAGGAACTTCCGATCCTTTGGTATGTTATTTTGACTTTCTAGAAATCACTATAACAGTCAAAACATGTCTTTGTTTTAAATAAATGAGATGTATGTCAGCGGTACGTTGTGCGCGTACCTGGGCCGGGCGGAGGCG